ACGAATGGACTGTCCTTCAGACAGGTTGAACGTTCACAGTTTCTATTAAGGCCCAGGGGAGATCAGGATTTTCAGTCTCTGGAGAGCAATGATTTTTGCTGCGTGGTGTGAACGCAGTATGCCCATCCGCTCACATCCCAAAGGTACTGGCAAGGTTGTACATTTTTGTATCTGGCAAGACCTACACTGCACTCTGACAATTTAAGTCTTCTTCAAGTTGGACCATCTCAAGGAATTAGCGAATTAGCCAAAATAAATAAATTAGCGAGCTATCAGACATTCATCATTATTAGACAAAGACAAAAATGCTGTACAATTTTCAGGCATTATGTCCTTTACCTTACGTTTCTTCATCCACATATAAGGCACCTGAGTCAGGGAAACAATTGGTTTAAAACTGGATTCTGAACATTTTATATGATGTTATCATATGAGCAAGATAGGTTAAAGGAAAAGAAAAAAGTTTAGGCAATGAAAACAACAAAATTAGAGTACAGTAGGCATCATTTTTCTGAATTCTCCTTCTTTGGAAGCGCTGCCACTGTAACTACATCCCTCTGTTATCCCCTAAGCAATGAAAGGGCAGGTCTCTGCAAACAGTCTGAGCTCCAGTGTTTCCCATAGTGAGATGCTGGATAATCTAACAAAAACACAGCGAGAAATCTGCTTTGATAATGCATGAGCATTAACTTTGCCATACAGAGAAAGGCATCTGTTAACATAAATCTTACATCTGCAGTCATGCAGACAACTGCAAACAAAATCCAGTGCTACCTCTGGTAAAACTGGCAGAAACAACCACAAATTTCATCTTCCTATGCATTAAAGCTAGTTTTCATTTACTGAATCCATTACTTTACCTATTTAGCAAAGTATACAGCCTAACTATTTTGGTATTTTCTAAGGAGCTTCTTTCTAAATCTTCCTGATAAATGTTAGTGATGGTACCCCCTGGGCCTGAATGTTCCTTTCCTGGGAAAAACAACAAGCTGTTCATTTCTATGTAATTTTATAGAATTTTCCATTTTAATTAGATCTATTAGGTCCACATGACGTTGTTAAACGAGTTCCTGCTTTTGTGTGTCTTACTTGTTTTAGATAAGGAAAATGTGAGGAGAATTTTCCAAAGTAACATACGGGACGGCTGTGACATCCACGACTTTTTTTTTTTTCTAATAAGAAAAAAAAAAAGAATTTGTGGCCTGATTCTTCAGGCTTTTCCTTGTAGTGGGTATAACTGAAGCCAGTAGAAATTTGTGGGTTTGGCTCTTGCTTTCTGCTGATGACAGTGTATATGTTACTGCAGTACAAGCAGATTGCCACGTCTAAGCCAGATGTTAACAGAAATCCTACAGTCCGTACGTACCATGCACTGGAGTATTCAAGAATGACTCCCTTGCAACTGCAACCAGTCCCTGGTTGTGTAGCTCTCTGAAAGCCAGAGATGGAAGAGTTTATCTGTTGCCAAAGTAGTAGATTTTTTGCAGTACGAATGAAGAAGGGAACTTTCTGAGCTAGTTAGCCAACCTGCAGTGCTGTCTATGCAGTTTTGCCAGAGATTTTGTCCTCTTTTTATTTCTTACCATTTGTTAGGCCACTTCCAGCTAGCATGAATTGAGCAAGTGTCACTGAAACTATGCTGATTTACAGCAAGCCATGATTTAGAGCTGGAGCTAGTATGCAGTTCCATGTAAGACAAGGATCAGATTTAGTCACAGGGAAATATGACCTAAGAGGTAAGTTAAAGAATATATTTTAAACATATTTAAATATATAAATATATATTTGGGACATATGCTTTAAAGCTTCATGAGCAGAAAAAGTAGTTTTAAAATAATGCTAAGGATTGTAATGTATATAAGTACTTACAAAGTTCCATTTACTTGATATTTTATTGTGGACATTGGTTCTAAATGTGATCTTCAAATCACCAGAAATCTCATCTGGTGATTTGAAATCTGGTGAAATCTGCTGATTTGAAGATCAATTTTTCTAGTTTGAGTCCTCTGACATAGAAAAATATAATTCTGTTCAAGTACAAACAGCAATTTGACACTTTCATATGTAGTATCAGAACCCTAAATATGGAAACTGAGGAGATGAAAAATTTGGAGACATAAAAACTTTTGTGCGCTCAATCTCTGTTGAGTCCTTTCAGAAATTTCTCCTCTGTCTCTCAGTCTTGTCTAAAATTTCACTCTTTTCCAGTGAAGCTGTTCTTGAAAAGCTTTTGAAGAGGTCCTGGTTTTTTATGTGATAAATATAAATGGATTGTTTTTGTTACCTCTAAAATGTTAGGCAGAAATATACTGAAAACATTATTATAAGCTGAATAGTTTGTTTGTTTTGGCATATATATTTATATGTACGTGTACACATATATATAGAGAGAGAGTCTTAGCACATACTAGCCAGGAGATTTCCAGGGGGAGAGGTGGAAATAGCAGTGCAAATGTCCCAAGCCCTGTTAAGATGTCACCTGGATACAGTTTCTTCACTCAGGATTCAGAAACTAGAAGAGATGCAACAAGCCATAGGGTGAACAGGGAGCTGGCACCCCTCTGTTATGAGACACAATTAAAAGGTCTTGGCTTGTTTAATCTTATGAAATAAACGTAAGAGAAAAGATATGATTAAAGAAGCAGGTATCCCCAGGAAAAAAAAAAAAAAGAAAGACGAAGAAGGGAGTTAAGTCAATGGGGATAAATTTGGCCTGAAAATTACCATGAGGCTTCAAAGTATCAGAAAAGAAATCAAATAACATGGTGATAACAAAAAAAAATGTACTTTGTGTTGAAGTGTGCATTTGTAGGGCACACGCCTGTGAAGACTAGAATGATGGATCTCTTGGCTAAGGAGATCCCTTCCAGTGCTCTGTTTTCTGCAGTTCACAAAGAGCAGAAGTAGAACAAGTAGCTCGCACCTGGACTTTGTTGGATGCTCCTTCAATGCACCAGCAGGGCTGCCATTGTAAATTAGCACTGCACAGAAATCAGAGGATTTCATACCATTCCAGACGTGTTCAATGACTAATGCTCTAGTGCAGGGAGTTTCATTCAAAGGGAAAATACTATCTCTGGAAAAATAGCTGTTTCCAGCTGTCTTCCATAAAATCTGTATGCACAAAACAGAGAGTGTGCTTCAATAGTCCTGCTTTGGAACCTCCCATTTCTTAAGTCTCCTTATATCAACTTTTATATCAACTGTGGAATGAATGCCAGTGGAATAGGTTGTTACCTCAAATAATCTTTTTTTCTTGACATGTTTATATGTCATATCATTGTCATATGATATGATGGGCAATGTAGACCATTTGGTATTTAATTAATAATTTAGTCATGGTATCTTTGTATCCCAGCCTCCATAAGAAAGGAAGGAGATGAGTGAGGAGAAAAATGGACAGGGGTCAACATACATGAAAAATACCAATGGTTAGGGTATTTAGACAGTGCTTTGATTCCTGTTTTTCTTTCTGAGGTAGTGGCATCTAGTGCCATAAGATGTTCAAAAAATATGGAAGTCAAAGTCAAGTTGGAAAGTAGGAGGTTAAGAATAGAGGTGGGCAATGTGTGGGTTTATTTTCTGCCCTTGATTCAGGCCTCCTAATAGGAAGGTTCTTTAAAGGACTGAGTCCAGGTATAGCTTGAATATTAGCTACCTTTGGTCAGATCAGTGTCCACCTAGCTCAATACCCTAATACAGCTGATCATGCAGCCACAGAATATCAGTTCTGATATAAACAAGGTGTTAGGAGCAAGATACTGAGGGCAGGGAGGAAGAAGAGCACAACTATCCCCCTCAGCAGTCATCGGGATGTATGATAGGTTTAAGAGAGTATGCCTGGCATTCACTCCTATCTCCAAACCTAGGCAAAGAAACCAGATGCCCGTGTGCAGGTTAAAAAAGTTGAAGGATCTGCAGGAACTCTTGAGCAGGAAAGGGGAAAAAAGACCTATGTGCAATAAATATTGCAAGAGAGCTTGGACTATTTTCAGCACTTCAATCAGTGTATTTATTGTAATGTTTCCTGTATAAATCAATTAGTTTTGAAATGTTTTCAGATTTATAGTGGATTCACTGAAGCTGTGGCATCTTTGTTTCTCCATCTTTCCCATTCACACAGGGGCTACATCAATGCTAGAAGATGTGACCTGTGTGTCAGCTTGCATGGTTTCTTGGAAAGGGAAAAATAGAAATTACGGAGCCCTCAAAGCTGGAGTTTTGCAAAGAAACTGTCCTTAAGATTTTGAGGAATGCGGAGGAAATAATACTTCCCTTAGTGGGAGCACCTGAACAGAATAGCAATAGGTGATATCCTGATATCACAGCAGTGTTGTGATTCTGTCCTCAAATTCATCAGGTGGGACAGCTGCTGGCATCTGCTCGGTATGAAGATGCTTGAAAGCTTGTGCCTGGTCCAAACACAGAATGCCAGTGGATGTCCATCAAAGGAACATCAGGTTTAGGAATATTTCCTGGTAGAAGGCTCAAAATTTTGATCACTACCTTAAATTTGTCAGAGTTACAGAGAAATGCAAGCCTGTGTTCTTTAGCCTGTAGATATTGACAACTATTTAATATGCTCCCATATATTCACAGAGATTTAGGGGGCATATTCCAGACACTACAGTATTGCCCAGAAGCGTTTAATATATCTCTTTCAAAAATGAATTTTTCATTACTTATAGTATATTAGCTATAAGCAGGAAGAAGTTATGAAGTCTGTGATGGTTCTTGTAACAGGCAATGGGTCTGTCTAATGAAAATGCTGGGAAAGAAATACCAACATCAGATACTTCTATGCTAAGTGTGGTCTTACCGAATTTTCTATTCCCTGTTGTCAATCTCAAAGTGTGATTATTATTCCTTTGAAGATGATTGGGATAGAAAGATGACCGTGTATTAAACCACAATATTTAATAAGAAAGAGCAAGAGGGAATATAGATAGCAACATGTTTTCTTTGCATCCTAAAACAGTCTATTTTATTTCTTTTGACAGGCTTACCAAAATAAGCTAAAGCTAGCTCTAATAGGTCAAAGTATTTTTGGTCAAGAAGTCTATAATAAGCTGCGAAAAGAGGGCCACAAGGTTGTGGGAGTATTCACAGTGCCTGACAAGAATGGACAAGCTGATCCCTTGGGTAAGTGTAACCATAATCCAAATGTTAGAGCTGTGCCTGACAGACCTGCTTTTTCCCCTTTTCGTGAGAAGGTAACATCTACATGGGAATGACTCACATATATTGCCTTTGTTACTAGATTCAGCACAAGAACTGTGCTTTAAAAAATACAGCTTCCAGAACCAGTTTAACCTTGCTGGTTAATCAGCATTTAAAAGCTGTTTCTAACCATACATTGTGATAATTAAAAAATAATAATAACATGTGATAATTAAAAAATAATAATAACATGGGGACCTTATTTGAATGGACATTCTAGAGGTAATTATCCTGAACTAGATCCCTGTCTTACAATGCACACAGTGTTAAAGGCAGCTATGAGGAGGCAGCATTATCACTTGACTTAATCCATGCTCTGGAAAGGAAGCGAGTAGCTGCCAAGCCTGTACTCAAGCATAAATGTCTGTCACCTGTTTCTCTGTGCTGTCTGTGAATTTTGAGGCGTGGAGCCAAGACTGTTTATTCCTGGCTTTCTGCCAAGCTTGTGTGCAGTAGAATACTCACAGAGCCTATTGCTCAACCACCTGTGGTATGGACAAGGCATTCAAGAGGGCAGAGGAAGCTTTACACTTCTCTTTTTCCCATTGGCAAGCTGCAAAAAGATTTTCTAGACCTTTATAAGAAAACATTGCTGTATTCATGTATTCACAATCGCACTCATATAAATGTGGAATATGCCATAATACAGAAGATACTCTGGAATCATTATTGGAATTGTAGCTTTATTTTTTTTTTTTTCAGAAACACAAAAATGGTGAGTTAATATGGTTAGCTAATAGGAGTGCCAGAATGGAATTTACCTTTCTGGATATTTAGAATTTGAAACCACCTCCCATAAACTGCCTCAAGTCACTTAGTGTTTTTGTCAGCTTCTGATGTATTTTTTATAGCATTCTTTTGAGGGAGGGTTCAAATACAAATTTTGCCTAAGCAATGGCACTCCCAAAGTAGCGCATAGTTTTTGAGCTTATTGCATTTTGTAATTACCTTATTATATGAATTTATCATGCTTTAGAAGAATTAGAACTACTGCTGAGAAAAAGACAATCTAACTATCAATTCCTGACAGCATCCCATAATACTTGATAGCATTATACAAACTGTTACTGACAAGCAGTTCTAACTCAGCAAATCTTTCACTGATTTCAACCTTGTATTTATTTTAACTAAGCCTTTAAACTACAGAACTATTTATTCAAACTAATAGAATGAATGTATTATGCTTTCAATGATAAATAATGATTTTGCTGGATTCTTTGCTGATTTTTGCCTCTGGGTAATACAAAGATCTCAAGTCTTGAGTGAAATGTGGTATTGTTTCTATATCCCTAGGCTTCTTATTCTTAGGTGTGGATGTTTCCCAGATGAATGGAAGAATATCTAGAAGGCAACAGTAAAWAAATTCTGAGGAAATAGCTGAAGGCCAGCAGCATTTCTTTGAGTCTACATGGCAAGATGTTGCTGACATTAGTGAATCTCAGTTATATGAAGTCACAGGCACACACAAAACTGCTCAAGTGGAAAATAAAGTTATTTGAAGGCAAACCAGTAGGTAGATGTAGTGACTGGGCAAGAACTTAAGCGCCACTGTTAAATAGACAACAGCATTCATCATTTTCTTCTACTTTCATTGCTACCTATTACTTAGGTCATGAAGATTAACTTAAACCTGAGAATAACTTGAGCTTTAGGAGCAAGAATTAAAGACAGAACTAATAAAATACGTTCTACTCCAAAGGTTTTGCTAAGTAAGGTACAGAACAGAGCAGTACAAAAGACACTCTTTAATCACATTTGATGATCTATTTGAGTTTCTTGCAATGTTTCTCTGATCTCTGTTTGATTTTTTGACATGAAACATGAATTAAAACCAAGTGTTCTTTCCCCTCAGCCCTGGCAGCAGAGAAGGACGGCACTCCTGTTTTCAAGTTCCCCCGGTGGAGAGCTAAGGGCAAACCTATCCAGGAAGTAGTTGCAGCCTACAAATCCGTTGGAGCAGAGCTCAATGTCCTTCCATTCTGCACGCAGTTCATCCCCATGGATGTTATTGACTGCCCCAAGCATGGCTCAATTATTTACCATCCATCCATCCTACCACGCCACAGAGGAGCTTCTGCAATCAACTGGTGAGATTTTGTAGGAAGTTAATCATAACTATGTGTACGCCTCATATTAGGCTGTTGGGTGAGACCAATTAGCCATGTGAGTGCTGGCACAGTTCCCAACTGACTTTAGAGTGAAGCAATTGCTTTGATGTAGTTGAACTTCATAAATAGGGTATGATTGTTCATTCTTTATTTCTTTCTCTTTATAACAAATATGAGGACAGCCAGCAAAGAAATCAGATAGTAGGATCTGACTGAGTAAAGAAAGTACTTTTTTCCATACAATTTATTATTAAACTGCACATCTAGAGAACTTTAGAAGAGTGGGTTCATGGAGGAAAAATTGTCAGGACTTGTTACACACAAAGATGTAGATACAGCCCCTGCTTCAGGACGTTCCTGTAGTTAAGAATTCCAGAAATAGGGAAGTGGTGTGTCTGTATGATATATAAATGCATGAGAAAACATGTGGGCATCAGGCAGGACGGAGGAATACCAGGCACAGACAAGGGGCCTAGGTCTCTGAGGGCTCCTCACACCTTTTTCACAGACTCTTCTGCAAAGGGGGTGGGAGGGGTAGGCAAAATAGGGACCATTTTTTGTTCCTTTTTTTCCCCCCATTTTTGGTTGCTCACTGCAGTATGCTTGTGTTTATTTTTTTTCCGCAAATCTGTGGCCCATGCAGTTCCAAAGGAGACCTGGAAAATCGAAGTGGCCAAAGTTGCTTTTAAATTTGAAGGCAGATCCTGAGCTGATGCAAATTGGCTATACTCATACATACCAGCTGAGAATCTGGCTAGACTTAAATTCCCGTAATGACTTTTCCTTAAACAKTTGCACAGTAGTGCTTTGTTAAGCATCTGTCATTTTCCACTCTGAGTTTAGCTCTTCTTCAGCTGTGGGACAACTGTACTTTCCTTGCTGACCTATAGATAAGTGATGAGGTTTAGTTAATTATAGTAAATAACTATGAATATATACTATATACTCATACTATATACTATCTAGAAGCAGACTATTGACAAATAGACAAATGTTCTTTTTTTGATGTATCCGTCTTTCAAATCATGTCACAGCTTTTGCATACTTTTCTTCTATACCTTCTTCTATATCTTACCACTGTTCATGCATTTAAAATAATTAGCATAGTGTAACATGTGATTGACATGGGATATTCTCTTCTATCTGCCTAAAGCAAATGAATGTGCAACAGAGGAGTTGATATTTGTGAGTGCTTTCACACTGTGTTTACTGATCTTTTTTTTTTTTTTTTTTTTTTTTTTTTTTAGGACTTTAATTCAAGGAGATAAGAAAGCAGGATTTACTATTTTCTGGGCTGATGATGGTCTTGACACTGGACCAATTCTTCTGCAGCGAGAATGTGATGTAGGCCAAAATGATACTGTGGATGACCTGTATAATCGATTTCTCTTCCCAGAAGGGATAAAGGCTATGGTATGTTTATCTGTGCTATTAACATTTTAAAGGCCAAAGAAAGGTTGTAGTTTAAACACAAAGGTAATATAGACAAGGCATATAAATTCAGAAAGACCGAGGTCGTGGTGCTCAGCTGTGTCAGTGACTTTAGTGGAGCTCTGATGCTTCACAGAGCTGAGGAGCTGGCTTTAAAATATTTGTTGCTGGCAGCAGGCAGCATGTGCTCTTTCCACAGAAGGAAAGTTTTATCCGGATTGTAGCTCATTCTGTAGAGTTTTTTGATATTTTTAYAAGGTGAAATTTTTTAAAGGCTTAGAGGGAGCGGAAAGTCAGGAGTGAAGATAAAAAGGAGGAATGTTTTTTAAAGTTCACTGGTTGTTTTGCATTTTGCATGCTCAGTTTTATTCATTCTGTTTTAAAACATATTTTAAAAGTACATTAAAATAGCAGGGAATCTTAGAGTTTTTTTGTCTCTCCATTCTAAAATAAGGAAATAGTTTTTGCAGAAGCAAAAGCAGTAAGAATTGAATATAAACATACAGAAACAATTTCTGCCTTAGCCTAAGTTCTGGACCTGAAGAATTTAGGCAGCTAATAAGCATAGTGATTAGGCATTTGCAATACATTTCTGRGACTATTTCTTTTGTTAAAGGAGTTTAAGAATACGTATATGTAAACCTGTGCAATATTGGTCTCCCTGATTTTGGAAATCCTAGGTTTTAAAAACAAACCAATTTCTTTTATGCAAGAAAATCTGTGGCCGTTCATAAAGATGACTGAGCAGAAAGTGAATACCAAAGAAACATTAAAACTGTTATTCTTCTGCTTAGGTGGAGGCTGTACATCTGATTGCTGATGGCAAAGCTCCTCGGATACCTCAGCCTAAAGAAGGGGCAACATACGAAGGGATCCAGAAAAAAGAAAATGCAGAGGTACTATTAGATAGCACTGTGTTTTGTACACAATCACTAGAGAAGGTGTTACCATCTTAGAGTAGTAGTGCCATCAAGTTAAACAAGTTGTAACAGTTGTTTCCTCCCCTTATATTTCTGGATGTGTGTAATAGAGCCCCAGATGAAGTTCATGTTCCCTGTCAGCAGTTAAATATATATAKAGAGAGAGAAACTTGATGTTCTACTTGAGATCTTTATGCAGCTAGATGGCAGCTGCTCCTTCAGTGGATTCTTGATATGTTATGGTAGTTATAAAGACAGCATTCGATTAATGTTGGTCCTTTTTTTTTGGGGGGGGGGGGGKGCAGGGAGGGGAAGCGATGTTTATAAGTGGTTCRTGCTGAATTCTCTACCAGAGGTAGATAAGGAATATTTTCTTAGGAAAACGGAACTGTTCGTACCTACCAGGAAATAAAAAACAGGTCATGAAAAAGAAAACATAGTAATAATAATAATTCAAACAGTATATCATATAGGATTATATTGTATAATTCCCTGGATGAGCTATGTAATAAAATTCTTACTGTTAGCTAGATCTTTTTGTTTGGAAAAGCTACCACAAAATGGTAGTGAATGCCACCTTTAGTACCTTCTTTTCTTTTGCTAGACTGATGCAAGTGTCTGATAAAAAAAAAAAGGCAAAAAATACTGATTTCATTTTGTTGTTTGTGATGAACATAGTCCTTTTCATAAAAAAAAAAWTGTAATAGGAGTATTAAAACTCCTGGCTTACCTTATACCACTTTTGCATGTGGATTAAGGTCATGGATCAAAATTTTGGGTCCCCATATAGATGCTGATGAAGTGATAGGAACATAGTACGTAGTATGTATGAAGTTGCAGAGCAGCTGAAATAATTGACTCCTATCAGTTCCAAAACACCTCAGCAAAGGAGCTTACAAAAAAAGAGTTTTCATGGCATTACTGAAATGAAAGGAAAGAATGAGGATGAGGACTCAACAACTCAACTAATATATGCAAAATTGCAATGAATTCTGAGAGCTTTAGTGACTTCTGATTTTTAATTTATATACTTAATTTGTATCTGTGGTCCAAATTGCTGAATTCATCCTTTAAATATACAGGAAGGTTTCTTGGAGCGAATTAAGTTAATCTCCCTATTGTAATTTTTTTTTCTTCATTGRCTTATAACTTGGTTCTGTATGTTCTTTTTGCTTAAACTAAGACACTGGGTACCTCAGTGTTTGTCGTTTGATAGATATTCCACAACATTCTCTAACTCATTTCATACCTGTGATGCTGCAAAGTTAATGAAATACCTTCTCACTGGTGTTAACACCTGATACATGATCTTAAGAACAAGTATATTGTGTATTATCCAGTAGTTAGTAACTTCAGTAGTTAGTAGTTAGTTATTATGTTGCATCCAGACATTAAGAACATCTTAAGATGATGATCTTAAGTTCAATGTTCTTCCTTTATTAGATCAGACCATTTTTGTGTTCCTAAATACATAAAAAATTGAAAGGGAAGGAAAATTTCTAACTCTTTTATAAGAAAGCATTAATAACTTGATTTATAACCAAACAAAAAATAATTATAATCTTGAATATCTTGATTTCACAGATCTCCTGGGACCAACCTGCAACAGCTTTGCACAATTGGATCCGAGGTCATGATAAAGTACCTGGAGCATGGGCAAAAATAGGTGACCAGGTATGCTCTGGAATCCAGAAGGGCAGCCTTTCTAGTACTCTCGTGGTATCTTTTTTTTTTTTTTTTTTTTTTTAATTAAAAAGGCTAAAGGAGATTGTAGAGATTGTATGCAGGTGAATACAGCTGGGAGTTGCTTTGGAGTGGCTCTCTTGGATGACTGTAGATTTTGTATAAATCTAGAACAGACACCTAACCAAGTGTACAGAACACAGCAGATATACTGGAGCTAGGATTTTCTGTTAGGTCCTTCTAATTCAAAGAAAGATAAGAGCAATATCTAAAAAAAAAAGAGGAAAAAAAGCAGTAAGTAGGCGGGGTAGATTCAGAGTATGCCATTTTGGTTGAGGAAGTAGTGTGTGTTACAGTCTGTAATGCAGTGCGTGCTTTACATGGAATTGCAGAATGATTAAAGTTGAAAGTGACTTTTGGAGATCATCCAGTCCAGCTGCCCTGCAGGTACCTAGAGTCATCTAAAGCACATTGCACAGGTTTGCATCCAGGAGAGTTTTGAGTATCTCAAAAGAAAGAGACTCCACAGCCTCTCTGGATGACCTGTTCCAGTGCTCTGTAACCCTCACAATCAAGAAGTTTTTCCTCAAAAACAGACAGAACTTCCTGTATTTCCATTTGTGACTGTTGTCTCTTGTCCTATTTCTGGCCATCACAGAAAAGTCAGGGCCCATCCTCCTGACATCCTCACAGTATTTATATGCACTGATAAGTCTTCTCTTCAGGCTGAACAGGCCCAGCTCTCTCACCTCTCCTCCTAGGACAGATGTTTCAGTCTCTTGATCATATTTGCAGCTCTATGCTGGACTCTTTCCCTTAACTCCATGTCCCTCCTGTGTTGGGGAGCCCAGGACTGGACACAGTACTCCAGAGGTGACCTCAGCAGGGCTGAGTAGAGAGGGAGGATCAACTCTCTTGAACTCCTGTCAAGATTCTTTCTAATGTGCCCAGGAGACCATTGGCCTTCTTAGTCACAAGGACACATTTCTGGCTCAAGGTCAACTTGTTGTCCACCAGGATGCCCAGATCCTTCTCCAYAGAGCTGCTCTCCAGAAGATCAGTCCCTAGCCTGTACTAGTAGGTTATTCCTACTAGGAGATTATTCCTGCGTAGGGAGGTTATTCCTACCTACATGCAGGACCCTGCACTTGCCCTTGTTGAACCTCATGAGGTTCCTCTCTGCCCAACTTTCCAGCCTGTAAAGATCCCTCTGGATGGCAGCACAGCCCTCTGTGTATCAGCTGCCCCTCCCAGTTTCATATCATCAGTAAACTTACTAAGAGTTCTTCATCCAGGCTATCTAGGATGAATAAATTGAAAAGGGATTGGACCCAGTACTGACTCCTGGGGGTCACTGCTAACTAGGCCTCCAACTAGACTTTGYGCTACTGATCACAATCCCTTGAGCTCTGCCATTCAGCCCGTTTTCAATCCACTTCCCTGTCCACTCATCTAACCCACATTCGTTGTACTACAGTGAGCAACATCATAGTACAACTCAGAATGCAACACTATAAAAAAAAGTTCCTTTATTTATTATAAGTTGTTTCAGCAGTTTGAAGAGCCATGGGCCGAGGAGAGCTAGAATCATTTGCAGAAAAAAAATACACCTCATTTTATCGCATTTTATCCCAAAACAGCAACTTCATTTCAATTCTGAAAAAGCACTGTGCCTTTGATCTACATTTTCTTTAGGTAAAACATTTCTAAAATCATTCTCCTTCCTGGCTGTAGTGTCCAAATTCTGTTACTTAGCCAGCTTCTCCAGAGGCCTGGCTCTGCACAGGCTCGAGAGCCCCAAGAGAAGAGAGGAGCCCAGGCGAGAGGCAGCGCTCAGCATTGCCCTGCTGGGAGCTAAGCAGGATCTGTCAGTACAGCCTAGTTTCTGCAGGTCTTTCTATGCACTAGACTAGCCATGCACTAACTAAAGCTACCTCCCTATCTGCATTGATTTCATCATGCTCGAAGTTAAAGTTAAGCAGCTTTTGGGARGTTTGCAGTTTTACATGTCCTGGGTTGTAAATATACAGAGGTAATGTTGTAACACGTTTTCTATGGGTTGGTACTTAWGTATTATTACTTTCTAGATTATTAAAGCTTCAAAATGGTATCACTTCATTCTTAGGATTTTAGAGCATATTTATGTGCACTTGTCACTCTTTATTTTTAGGTGGTTACTTTCTATGGATCATCATTAGTTGATGCTTCAGTCCCAGCTGGACAAGAGCTGGCAATAAAAGGTGCTTCAAGACCTGGACTTGTAACAAAGAATGGCCTGGTCATTTTTGGTAATGACGRGAAGATGGTAAGTGCTCATTCTGACAAACATGAGCACAGATGGCACACTTGGCAAAAAGTGCCAGAAGTGTGGAATTGTCAGGCTAGATAAATCCATCTGCTAAAGACAGTTAATTAGCTTGGAGTCTATTAATCTTGTGAAATTCTATAGAAGAGGCTTTTATGTCTTGCTCCTCACTCAAATCTTATCCATTTTGCTTATGTATTAAAATGTACCAATAGAAGAGAATAGAATCTGAAAGACGTGAGTAATCTGTTTTTAATTACGTGCATCATAGCAGCATGTAAGCTATGTATTCTAATATTCCAATGATTATATTAATATTGAAAAATTCACCACGGAAGGATACAAACATACGAGAATGTATTGTTTCTCAAAGAGTTTAAAAATCATATCTCCTCGGTTTTTAGGTACTAGTGAGGAATCTACAATTTGAGGATGGAAAAATGATCCCTGCATCTAAATACTTCTCTGCTGATGAAACAACAGCCTTGGAACTTACAGAAGAGGAGAAAAAGATGGCAGAAGATATTAGGGTAATTCTGTAATCTGCTTTTGTTGGATATTACTTCAAGGAAAAGCACTACATACTTCTCAATATAAGCAAAGCCTGTCCTTTCACTGACCACAAAGTGTGTTGTTGTTGTTTTTTTGTGATACATGCTCAGATAGCATAGGTTTGAATCTTTAGTTATTGAATTGAATCTTTAGTTATTGAATGAAATTCAGATGGATTTGGGAATTCCTGTTAAAACACATAACCATATAAAGTTTTCCTTCAGACACAGGTGATTCAGAGAAATTGATTGCAGGGCCACATGGCAAATGACAGGGTTTTACCCCTGTTCCCAACTGTGCCAACTCTCTCCCCTGTCGCAGTCATGCACAATGGGCCGGCTGGCAGAGGGATGTGGCGATGGGGCAGCTAGAGGAGAAAGTTGTAGAGCTGGAGGGGCACCTTGTTGCCCTCTCCAGCAGTTGCTCCTTCTGCAGTGTCAGCTTCTCAGCTGAAATGCACACTTGTCATTTGTATAGTTGTGGGCCAGAGCAGCTGAAGCAAGACATCTGCCAGCTCTGCTGCACATCAATAACTTTTGACACAGGTCACACAGCTAAAGGCACTAATGTTTTAAAATACTGTTTCAGGCTTGCCATGAACTTGCCTGCTGGCAACCTTAGTGCTTTCTGGAGCAATTGCCTGACTGATAAAATAGCAAAAAGAAATATAAACTCTTCTCTTTATGACACTACCAGCCAAGTCTTGAGACCAATCTATTATTAATTTRAAAGTTACCAGCTATTGTAGCATTCATGTTAGCAGAAATATCCATCTAATTCATGCAGCTTAAGCTACCTCTCAACTCTGTCCAAGTGTCGAAAATTTCATCACAGTCYATTCACAAAATTCCCCATACCTCTGTTGAGATCATATTGCATAGTGCAATGTAACACCATTATTTGGAAGGTGAGGCTTTTATAAATATGGRCATGAAAAATCATTACCATTGTAACATTAAGTTTGCTTGCATGGTTAGGACATGCATGGTTAGGACCATCATGGACAAAATTAATCTGTAGATTTTATTTGCTATTATSAAGTTACAGGTCCACTTAAAATAGCTATTATACCTGTTGAAGCAATGCACTTTGAAGGCATAAGTATGTTAGAAAATAGTTTTGCAGTAAATAATTCCTGCAGCTAACATAACTGCCCCATTGTTTTTATGTGCTAATAGGCTATTTGGAAGGGAATTTTGAGCAATGTTCCTGTAATTGAGGATTCTACAGACTTCTTCAAATCTGGAGCATCCTCTATGCATGTTGTCAGGTAAACAAATATTCAAAATAATATTTTGAAGCAAAAGCTAAKGGAAACAAAGTTGTTCATGGTGCTTGAATCGGGGTTGATGAAGTAGTGAACAAAAAATGATTTTTCAAATTTGTTTCCCACTGCTCTATCTATTGCCTTTCCTACCTTTGGAAATATGATACAGTTCTGTGGCCCAAACTAGGAGATACTGATGCCTTTTCTACTCAAGCAAAAATCCCCTTGACTTCAGAAGCATCAGCTGCATGGGGAAGCATGATGGTGCTCAAAGTCACCAGCATGTAGTACYGGGTATCTCAAGAGCAGTGGCTGATTCAGAAGCTGAGCAAAGGAATTGCCATAGGTAAGGTCAATCAAAGCCTTTCACAGGGGAATCGAGCCCCATCCTTACAAGTAAGTATATTGAGTTCATGCTATGTGGGGTCAGCTCAGTTAACTTCTTTTTATAACTCAGATATGCAACGCTGTAAGACCAGRATTTCAGTTTTATCTTAGCAAAATTATTATTGCCCCTCTTGATTGCCGATGTCATAGAGCTCAAAACTTCCTGCATGCATCGGTGAGAGTAGTTTCGTCAAACGAAGCATGTTATTTATCATTTATTTCCAAAACGTACCTAAGAATATTCCTGACTTTGCATTTTCTTTTCTATAACAGCACCAATTAACCCAACAGCTGCAGGCAAGCTGCTTGGAACCATTCRCTTTTGATGCCTTTCTACCTTGGAATGATTTGATTATCTGAATAGTTCTCATTGGTTCAATTCACTCTGTCTTTGAAATCTTTAGAATGCTGGAAGAGATCAAGCAGAAATACAGCGGACTTCAGCTGCAGAATGAGGACGTTTATATGGCTACTAAGTTTGCAGACTTTGTTCAAATGGCTGTCAGAAAACTCAGGGGAGAAGACAAAGAAGAAGAGCTGGTCATTGATTACGTATGTTGTCACTGGTTACTTGTACTTCATTGCTTCTTGTCTCTTGGCTGTTTGGAAGATAGGCAATACGTTTTTTAGGCGGATTGATGCAGTAGGAAAATCAAACAAATATTTGGGCATATGAGCTCCTCTTTTCTGCAAGTTTTATGTATTTATGTTTCAGAACAGAAACAGATGTTTCATGTGAAACTAATGATGTTCCTGAAACTGGGAAAACAAGAATGTGTGTAGAGTAGCTCACAGAGGTACCCTCTTCYCCACCCTGGTGCAGTATCCTGCAAGAATACTTCAGTCAGAATAGTTGCAGACCTTCTGATTTCCTGAGGCAAAAAGTACTAGACCTTTCTCATAAGAACTGTTTGTTGGAAAACTTCATGTGAAAGCTTTAGGGATTGTTCTTGGAGACCAGAACACTGAGCAAGTCAGGGTTGCTTGACCGTGGAGAATATGCTTGAATTGGAATTTTGTTTGAAGTCCTGCAAGATTTAGTGTTGGTTTCAAGATAGAGACTCAATGACCTAAGAAATACAGAAATCTGCTTAACTATCTCCAAGYATGGGTATTGGTGTTCAGGAAGAATATCCTTCTAACTGTTCTTAATAGCCATATATACATCCTAAAATGCAGCTGAGTGTTAGTTATAAGTATCAAAAGCTATGTTCTATTGTTGGACTGTATTAAAATTATATGTTTTAAATACTAATTTGCGTATGTGTGTGCTTCACTTTCAGGTTTCAAAAAATGTGAACAATATGACTGTGAGAATGCCATACCAGTGTTTCATAAATGGGCAGTTTATAGATGCTGATGATGGAAAAACATACGACACCATAAATCCAACAGATGGATCAGTGAGTAATTTCTAAGTATGATCAATAACAGTTTATTTCAATTTCCTTTGAAATATATAAGACAATGAGTATTGATGGATTCAAAACCATACAGTACAAGAACTCCATGTTTTTTTTTTAAACTTACTCCTTGATTTATATAGTCTTCAATTGTTGCATGTCCRTCAAGTTTCACAGTAATTACCTCATTTGTCTTTAAGTATTATATGACAATCTTCATATCCAGTTACATATCCAGTTGCTTTTTTTACCTTCGTTTCCTATCTGTTTGACTTGGCAAAAAAAGAAGAAAAAAAAAAGGCTAAGGTCTAGTTGCTAAAGAAGTATTTCTACTAGCATATTAATAAATTCCATAGAATCATAGAATGCCCAAGGTTGGAAGGGACCTCAGAGGTCATCKAGTCCAACCCCCCTGCWCACRCAGGGTCAYCTAGAGCACGTGGCACAGGGCTGCRTCCAAGCGGSTTTTAAAGATCTCCAAAGAAGGAGACTCCACAACCTCTGGGCAGCCTGTTCCAGTGCTTTGTCACCCTCACAGTGAAGAAATGCTTCCTTAAGTTCCTGTGGAACTTCYGATGCTTCAGTTTGAAGCCATTTCCTCTAGTCCTATCACTGTCCACCACTGAAAAGAGGCCGCCCCCTCCTCCTCACTGCCTCCCTTGAGGTATTTATACACGCTGATGAGGTCCCCCCTCAGCCTCCTCTTCTCCAGGCTGAACAGGCCCAGCTCTCTCAGCCTTTGCTCATAGGGCAGATGTTCCAGGCCCCTGATCATCCTGGTAGCCCTGCGCTGGACTCTCTCCAGCAGCTCCACATCCCTCTTGTACTGGGGAGCCCAGAACTGGACGCAGTACTCCAGATGTGGCCTCACCAGGGCTGAGTAGAGGGGGATGATCACTTCCCTYGACCTGCTGGAGACGCTYTTCTTAATGCACCCCAGGATCCCGTTGGCCTTCTTGGCCACCAGGGCRCACTGCTGCCTCATGGTCAACTTGTCGTYCACCATGACACCCAGGTCCCTCTCTGCGGGACTGCTCTCCAGCAGGTCACTCCCTAATCTGTACTGGTGTCCARGGTTATTCCTCCCCAGCTGCAGGACCCTGCACTTGCCCTTGAATTTCCTGTCAGTCACCAACTTCAGGGTATTTTGTTTGCTGTTGTTGTTTACAAATTGTTGTTGTCTTAGCGCAAATTTGACTTTAAAGTGTGCCTTTAAATTTGCAGTAAGAAAATAAAACTTTTCAATAGGAAAATAGRTATCGTTCTATTTCATCTCATCCTCTTGAAGGTACTGAATTTTGGTTGAGCAACTGTTAAGTAMGAATTATAAATAAAAGGAGAGATCTTGAGGTCTGCTTATGTTATTGTATTTCTGAAGTAATGSATTTACAGTTAAATCAGTGGCACAAATTTTACTGGGATTGGAAGCCAGAATCTGGTACTTTCCTTGTGGCTCATTATGGAATGGAATAAAAATATAACAAAAATTGGGCTTAGGCTTTAAAATACAAGTATTATGGGGATATAATCATTATAAAATACTATGTGGCCACAGAAGCTCCATTCCAGAGAAATAGAACATGCAGGAGTCATTTTAGCATGTTCAGGTGACGGTATCATATATTTGATTTTTCCACTTTTGTCATATCACTTTGATTTACCTATGAAAAGAGGGTGAAATCYAGTGGGATGATGCTCCTTGGTGCTGAAGAAAAAAGGAAAATATCTGGGAATCAGAGTCCCTGCACTGTCCCCCAAACTCAGCCATCATTACTTGTGTCTGAACTTTTTGGACCCTCATTCACCCACAATCAATTGGTGCTTGAGAATATCAAGTATTCTCTTATAGCCAGTCAAAAGGTTTAGGAGGAAGGAGTAACTTCTTGCATCCTGGTCTTTCAATCTGAGCTAACACATTGCTACCTTGTCACAGGTAATAGCCACTGTATCCTCTGCTTCGTTGGCTGATGTTGACAAAGCTGTGGCAGCAGCRAAAGAGGCTTTTGAAAATGGTGAATGGGGACGAATGAATGCACGGGAAAGAGGGCGACTCATGTACAGGTRTGTTAAGGGTGGCATTGTGTTTCTTTAGTTTCATTAAAACTAATTATTTGGTTCCTCTGAAGAATTGCAACAGACTATCTGAGTATGATGGATATTCATAGTCCCATTTTCAGAGATACTAGGCAGAGTTACTAGATTAGCTACATTTTCATCTCCTAATACACTGGAGTACTGTGGCTTCATTTGCTTTTGACTGAAACTTTGGCAGCTTCTTTGAGAAATTCTGACCCTCCAGTTGAAACCATGTTAACATAAAGAATTTTTATTTGTGAATAAAAACAAAGAATAGGAGGAAAAAAGACTTCTAAATACTCAGTGGCTTCATTTAATCTATATGCTTTCCTCCTCAATTGCAGAGATTGAGAGTTCTCTTGTAAAGTCTGAATTCTTCTGTAAGGAAAGACTTAAATTTTCAACGCAGAGTCTAGTGATGTTAAGTCGGCAGACATTTCTGACCTTGTGAACCCTACCTGTCTGTACTGTATACAGTGAACTTGTAACCAAATTGCCACTGATTTTGAAAGAGATTGGATCTGCTGGATTTTCTAGGSGCTATATTCCAACGTCCTTCTCACCTGGTTAAAGAGCCTCCCTAGGAACTGCTTTGTGGTCTATTGTGGAATAATTGTCTTCTGTACAAAAAGTCTAAGCTGAGTCCCTGAAACCAGGGGTCCTAACACTGTACTTCTAAATTCTGGGGGAATRTTATTTTAATACAGTTCTTTGCCCTGCCAAATCTCATTTTAGGCTGCCTGTGGTTAGATGTCACTTCTTTTTGATGTGTATTTGTTATGTTTTGATTAAAGACTTGCAGACCTGATGGAAGAACATCAAGAAGAGTTAGCAACAATAGAATCTATCGACTCAGGAGCTGTCTACACCTTAGCTTTGAAGACCCATGTAGGAATGTCTGTGCAAACATTCAGATACTTTGCTGGATGGTGTGACAAAATTCAGGCAAGTGAATACGTAAAGGAGGAAATGAATGACAGTGCTTCTGTGCACATTCTTTGCTGATACTGCCCCAAAAAGCAATGTTAGCAAAGACAATCAAGAAACTCAAAAATAAATCAAAAAAAGTCTACCTGACAATACAGAAGAAGCACAGTCTGCTTCCAACTGGACAATATGGATTTAGAGTCTGACTCTAAATACCTAATTATATATCCAATAATATCTATCTAATGGATTGAGTTATCCTAGTGTATATGCATTTTTAGTCAGCTTTTGATTATTCATGGATCAGAACGGCCTTGTGGYGGCTCAGCTGTGTTGCAGGTGCAGAGACACATCAGCTTACATCAGTTTTACATCCAGACCTGATGCGTTCGCTTGGTGCCATAGCACAAGGCTCAGGTTCAGTAACATTTTCTTAAGCATCTTTAAGATCTGCAGTCAAGACTATCATTCAGCTTTCTTTTCTTCATTATATCCTCACTTTATGTTCTTCCATACTATTGTTATCTGTGATTTTATTTTATCCAATTGATAATCAAGAGTTGACTATAGTAGCAATAGCAAGAAATTACACTATAGCAGCATACCTGCAGAACTGCTCTGCACAACGTTCTTATATGGCAGTGGTGTTTTTAACAAAAAAAAAAAAAAAAAGATTAAAGGGTGCGTTTATGATTTGTATAAATATCTCACTGCTTTCTTTTAGGGTGCTACAATTCCAATTAACCAGGCCCGCCCAAATCATAACCTAACATTCACTAAGAAAGAACCAATAGGGTAAGCATATTTATTTATTTATTTATTTATTTATTTATTTATTTATTTATTTTTCCTAGTCACAGCCTTGACCAACAGAAAAGCCACTCAAAAGGTGTTGTCAAAATATATTTTTCTTATTTTTCCCATTTTCAGTGTGTGTGCAATTGTTATCCCCTGGAATTACCCACTGATGATGCTTGCATGGAAGAGCGCAGCGTGTCTGGCTGCAGGCAACACGTTGGTTCTCAAACCAGCTCAGGTAAAAACACAAAGGAGCAGCTCCAGGCCTTCAGTATTTGTTCAGGCAAAGCATTTTAAGTGCTGTAGTTGATCTCATCCCCTGCCATATGTTGTAAGAGCTCATATAAAATAATACAAATTGTCGTGATCATTCAAGGTACTGATTATATTCACTTCTTCTCTGATGGTACTCTCATTTTCAAAAGTTAATTTCTGTCTTCTCATAGAGTTCTGTTTCTTCCACGATGTTTCTGTTGTGTGGTGCTATTACTAGGGAGATTAATGTAATTTTGAAATACTATTATTGCATGTGAGCAGAAAATATTTTTTTGCAAGCCATCATTTTTATTTTGTCAATATTGTGAAGAATAAAAAAATGGATATTTTACCAGAAAAAGAAAGTATAGAGCATAAAAGATATCATCTAAAACAGCAGATCTAATATAAGTGTTTCTGCTTAGGTCACACCGCTGACATCCTTAAAGTTTGCAGAACTCTCAGCTAAAGCTGGATTTCCTAAGGGTGTTATAAATATTCTGCCTGGTTCAGGTAAAAAAACAAATGCAACTAATCATTTTTCTGGAACTAACTCATACTGAAACTGGAGAACTAGCATTTTAACATTGCAGATCAGCATATATAAATATATGCTGCATGGCCTTATCTTCATTCCCAGTAGACTGGCATATATGTAATACAGCAATTTCACACATTGCTAAAACAGACCTGGAAAAATCTTTGTATCACRTTGCTCTAGCTGGTGACAACATTCCTTGACTTACCCTCTCTCTAAGTTCACACAGATAGCATTAACACTCTGAGACAGAATTCTGCAAGAATTCTAAATAAATTCTTCAATAATTTATTTACAGAAAAACATGTTGCCCTAGATTTTAAGACTTCACTTTTTTTTTTTCCTAAACTTACCATCACTTGGAAGTATTAGTGTGTTTAAATGTGACTAGGAAGACCAACAGCAAGCTGGTAAGGTGTTTATTGATCAATATCAATGAGTTATGATCCCCATTGTGTTTCCTGATATTATTTTCCTCTTTCCTTGCCCTAATGAAAGAAGGTGACAAAGTAACTGTGTGGGTCAGACTTTGTTACAAATTAGGTTATTCCACCTATAGTGAACTATCAAGGAGGAAGTTCTTTAGTCCAGAGTGATGGAGAAATTTGGAAGCATTCACATGATTTAAGTTAATTAGTGTGAAACTTTAATATTGATACAAATAAAGCCCTAACTGTAATAAGGATGTGATATTGTACTTGGTTCACATATTGGTAGCAGTTTCTATGTTAGAGTGCTCCTGCTGGGTGTCACGGAACGAGTGGTGGCGAGGGAAATAAGAAAAATTGATTCTGTTTTGCCCAGTTAAGCTGTTTTCCTTATCACAACAGGTGGCTTAGTGGGACAGCACTTGTCTGAACATCCAGACGTTCGCAAAGTTGGATTCACTGGTTCAACACCGACTGGCAAAAAGATCATGAAGAGGTATTCTTAGCATAATATTCATAAATAAACACTGCTGAGTCTATTTCCAAGGTGTCTTAATAATTGTATCTCACATGTAGCAGTAATACAGTAATACAGAAGCATAACTATGTATGGCCATTTATGGTGATGTAGAATTCTGCTTAAGTTTCATTTTTTTGGAAGATAGGCATTTATCTTCTTAGGAGTACATTTTCACCWGATTTGATTAAAGGGAAATAACTTATTTAACTATTTAAAGCCTGCTTTTTACATAATTATTTGCATTTTTCCAGTGCGGCCAGTAATCTGAAGAAAGTTTCTCTTGAACTTGGTGGCAAATCACCGCTGATCATATTCAATGACTGTGAACTTGATAGAGCCGTAAAAATGGTAAGGTTACTTTAAAGAAAAAAAATATATTCAAAACTTTTGTGATACATTCTCACAGGATTGCAATATTTTTATTACATGCCAAAAAGTGTATCAGGGACCCTTTCATAAACTGTCATGCAATTAGATTCTTTTTCTGAAGGATGTTTCTCTGTGCCAACACAATTAAACCTTTATGCTCCAACAAAAAGCCAGGGATCTGTACTACAAGAAATATACATTAAGAAATACAATCAAATAAGGAAATATATATGTTGAAATATTTTTACCAGATGAGTTTATAGATTAAAGATGTTTTCCGTCAAAATTTGATACTAAAAAAAAGCTTCTGTTTTAAAAGCCTGAAAAGTGAAACCAAATATAGTAAGCTCCATACTGACATATCATGCCTTGTAATTCACCATCACTATCAACTTCCCAAGCAGCTGTAACTTGTTTAAAAATTGTATATAAAATGTGCAAASAAGAAATACAGTAGATTTAAGGAGTTTATTTCCTGTTCACATGGTCAAAAAAGTGATAACGATTCAAAAAAGTGATAATGAATACAGTTTGCTCAGTAACACCAAAACAAGGTCTCCCACACTGTGCAAGTGCCACAAATTTCTTGCATAAGCAGCTTCTGCTACTGGGAAAAAGCTATTAAGCATTTTTCACGCTATTATACCCTCTTTTGGGAACACAAGAAAAACTGTGACTGAACAGTGAAGTATATATGGAAAATAGTAAAAGCTGGCATGCAAAAATAAGCACACTGCTTGATGCCATCCGTGTTCTCAACTGGAGAAAAAAATAGAATGATGCAGAGTTTTGCCTGGGATATAGGTGACACAGATGGCTTTTAATGGTTTTGAAGCAATGTGTTTACACGCAGCACTGGCACATGATTTCAGTCATATCTAATAGTAGTAGGACCCTAGACCTTTGCAGCAGTAAGAAAACAAGTGCAGAGAAATTTGAATTGTCCTAGTCATCCTGCCTTTCTGTTCCCCACCTCCCACTCTCCAAGAAAAAAAAAAAAAAAAAAAAAAAGGGGACAGGCATCAGGTCTTGGTAAATACAAAGGAACAAACAGCACAGTGTCTGAATCCACATTCTTGAAATAGGAGCCTCTCTGCAGATTAGAGTGACATAATGCTCACCCAGCTGCATGCAGCTCTCAGCACAAGCAGTATWGCTCAGTGGGCAGTTTAGCACGGTTTCGTATTCATCAGCATTGCTGCCAGCCCTCCTCTCAGCGGTGCTGCAGCCAGAGTTTCTGTGGAAGGCTGATGGAAATGGAAAGAGTGCTGCAAATGGGTTCGTCCTGAGCCATTTGTCTCTGTGGAAGAGTGTTTTCCAGATGTACAACTAGTTTGCTTCTTGCACTGAGGATATCTGCTTAAATAAAGCATTACGTCTAAGGGCAGCTCAAGGGAAATGAATGAAGGGGAGAATGAACAAAAGGATGTGTATGAATATTAATTTGGTTTGTTTTGTTTTTCCCGAATCAGGGTATGGGAGCAGTATATTTCAACAAAGGAGAAAACTGCATTGCTGCTGGCAGGCTGTTTGTAGAAGAATCAATCCATGATGAATTTGTTAGAAAAGTGGTAAGATATTTAAGGACTAATATTTAGGTAGATACTTTGCTATGGCACAAAGATCCCATTATTTTGCAGACACACACACATTTCTTGTTATTTATAGTTGCTTAAATTTTCATAATTGATTATGATAGGCAATGCTGCTTCTTGTGAAGCTTTTACAGGGTTGAACAAGAGGCACCAAAGAGAGATATTTCCATTAGAAATGCACAGATAAGTGACAGAAGATATTGTACTATCAGTAATAATTCTTATTTGACTAGGAAAGCAAGATTTAGAAAACCACTGRACTTAACATCACTGTGCTTGAAGATTTAGAAAAGGTATATTGGAGGCATAGCTAGAATCACACAGTTGTCATTAAAAATCCAGTAATCAATTGTATCACTGGAAAATTCATACATCTAACTCAAAAAAAAAAGGAAGTTATTGTGATAACTTATTCACCACCAGTAAGAATTGACCTTTTACATGCCTGCCTTAATAGCAGAAGAGAATGAAAGCATAAAAACAACATGAAAAACTTTCAGAAGTAACAAGTGGTCAAGGGCATCAAGCATAAGACACTTTACATAGCATCAACTTAGAAGGCAAATGAGTATTTCACCTTCTAAAAATTCAACTCTTTCTTGGGGCCAAACTTCACAGCACAAACAATGAAGCATCTGTAATCAGTAGTCACTTTATCAACTGTTTATTTGCTACACTATGTAACTTCATTTTAATTGGATACCCCATAGGTGGAAGAAATAAAAAAGATGAAAATTGGTGACCCACTTGATAGATCTACAGATCATGGTCCACAAAATCATAAAGCGCATTTGGAAAAGCTGCTGCAATACTGTGAAACTGGAGTAAAAGAAGGTGCCACTCTAGTATATGGAGGAAGACAAGTAAATAGACCAGGTAAAATGCTTCCCAAAGGTGTTGTTTCTTAAACTTTAAATAAAATGGGATTGTCTCTACTGCATTAAATAGTAGCAATAYTATGCAGACAGTATCAGGTAGTTTCAGGATGACACTTTAAAACAGAACTTCCARCTCCCATATTAATAGAAGTTGTGTAATTGAAGCATAGCATTTGAAGTTGACTCAGAACCCAGTGCTGTTTCTTGTGGGGCACTGGGAAACATCATTGAACTGGCAAGAACCATAATTACAGTGGTAGCCAATTATTTCAACAAAACACTAAAGCTGTTTGGGCTATCTTGTTTGCAGAGTCAGCACCTGAAGTTATGATCAAAAGCATTTTTTTCTAGGTAAAGAGTGCTGAGTTTGATGGACAGATATAAGAACAAACATTTCCTTGTGGACCTCTCTCGTATCAGTAAAGGAGGAGAAACATTTGCACCATTTCAGGACATGCTTGCATACCCAAAGAAAATGAAAGGGAAAATATGCAGCTGTAGGAAATCAGTGGGATAAAATTAATGAGAAGTCTTATGGAAGGGGAAGGCAAATATAAAAGACCTCAAAATAAGTTGATTTTTACCAACTCATCCTACAATACACTCACACACCCACATGTAGGTGTAGAAAAGATTTGGCCATAATCACTTGTGTGCCACACAGGGACAGCAAGTGATGCCAACTCTGAAGTCCACACTGTGACTTCTGGAGTCCTCTTCATTAGCAGTGGTGAACAAGTTTTGGACAGGTGTTTTATACCCGAAAAAACATTTGTCATGCATTGCCCTTTTTCTCAATATTTTCCTTACTTCWGTCTATAAATCTTAGGCAGAGTTGCTGCCCATCACATGTATTTTCCTTGTTTGGAACATAGAGATATTTATGGCTACCATCCTGTACACAGCCYTGTTGATATCTTGTAAGCTTGGTGACACCTTCCTGCTTGAGTCCAGGGCCTTCTATTGGAAAGTCACCTGGTTGTGGGGTGCTAGCCCTCAGGGCATGATATGAACAACACATGTTACCACTGTGATCAAGAGAGTCCATGTTTTTAACTCTTGCTCTCCTGCTTCTATAATGCCCGTGCACGTCCATTTCCATTGATACTCATTCATATCAGTCTTAATATTTCAGTTTCAGGTCTCAGCRGATGTATGACTTGGGTTCAGTTCCAAGTATGGAAAAGAGATGACCTGAACAACACAGACAGAGAAGCATTTTGTCCTTAATTAATTAATTATTTGATTGATTAAATAATACCCTATCTTCTGTTTAGGTTTCTTCATGGAACCCACRGTATTCACAGATGTTGAAGACCATATGTATATTGCCCAGGAAGAGTCCTTTGGTCCCGTCATGGTAATTTCTAAATTTAAAAATGGGTATGTTCTCTTCTGGCTACTAGCAGAAACTTTATTTTCTCATTTTCTCTCAAAATGTAAATGTAAAAACAACATMATCAGAACCTCTAGTACTATGATTTTGAAAAACATTGTAAGGACCAGGATGAATCTTTGGATGAATCTTATCTTCCTGTTAAACTCCAGGTAAACATGCTTTTTGGAGTATCCTTGTACATGTCAACACAAAATTAATGCTATAGAGGCGCAGTAAGGGATACAATGCAAACCTAAATACCACACAGTAAAAATATTTTATCGAATATTGAGACCTACCTACTGAAGGTGACAGGATAATTGCAGTATGCTGATCAAATCACAAACCATGTATTTTTCCAAAGAAAATGCTTGTTGTTCTCATTGTCTCTGAGCACTGCCTAACATTGTTGTACATTATACAACATGGGCACATTACTATCACAGATGAAAACTGCTCTATATATTTGTGGACTGACAGTTTAATGCCTTTCATTTCAAATCATTTTACATGCACATTAAAGAAAAATCCCCCCAAAGTCATATAACTATTTCCACCACATTTCTTTTTTTTTACAGTTTGAAAATGTAGTTAGCGGTTGACCACGTAGACAATCTTCATATCTAATAAGGGAAAATACCAGTTTTTTATTCTTTAAATATTATGGGTTATGGATTATGAGTTATGAAACTATATGGAGAGGAAATACATGAAGAAAATAGCACCCTAGACATGGCATGAAAAGGCACATGACACTAAATTAAAAAGTGGGGCCAGTTTTTAGCAAACTGATTCATAATAATCAGCTGCATGGCTTGGCTTTCCAAGTGTTTTTTTATTGCTGTTTTCCCAAAATTTTACTGCAGTTGCACAATGACAGTGTGCCTAAATGCAACATTCATTTTTACGGTTTTCAGTGTCAATGGTGAGAGATGATTCCTGAGAGCWGTTTCTTGTCTGGGCCAAATATGGGGTTCTACAGCACAGGATCAGCGTGGCAAGTCATTTAGGGTTAGGGTAAGCCTAAGACATCAGAGAAAGAAAAAGCATAGAGGTAATATTGCTGTCATGGTGGAAAGGGGCTGCCCACRGAGGGTGTGCGGTGGCCACAGTCARCTCCTTAGAGGAGTTTATTCATTGTGCCACACGCTGGTTTCGGTAGCACCATTGGCCTTGCAACATTTTGATGATTAGGATTAGGGTGGAGAGAAAGACAAAGCCTATGGGTGCTGCTGTCATTGTGGAATGAGGCAGCCAGACATGTCCTGTGCTCAGAAATGGTTCCTGTTAGTAGTTTGTCCTCTAGCCATATATGGTAACCTCTGGCCCACTGCCAAAATGACAAAAAATTGGGAGTTTGGGTTACAGCTGAGAGAACAAGAAACCCTAGAGGTGCCATTGTTGTCCTTGTGGAATGAGGCAGCCAGGGGAAGCTGTTCTGTTCTCAGAGATAGCTCCTGTGAGGAATTTGTTGTCTAGGCCACATGTGCTGCTCTCTGGCCCACCACTGGCCTGACAAGACTGTTAGGATTGAGAGAAGAAGAAAGCCTCATGTTCCCTTGTTATCACTGTGGAATGAGGCAGMCGGAGCGAGATGTGCAGTGCCCAGGAATAGTTCTTGAGGCATTTCTTGTGTTGGCCACATCTGCTGGTCTCTGGCCCACCACTGGCCTAACAAGACTTTTCAGGTTAGGGTTGAGAGAAAGAGACTGCCTAGATGTGCTGCTGTCCTCATGGAATAAGGCAGACAGGGGAACCTTCCCTGCCACGAGATGTTTCCTGTGAGGAGTTTCTTGTCTGGACCATATAGGGAGGTCTCTGGCCTACCACCATCCTGGCAAGATTTTTACCATTATCGTTGGAGTTGAGAGCAAAGAAAGCCCTGTAACTCCATGTAGATCTTAACCATTGACTTGTAAATTTGTAGTGTTTACAATTTTAAATCACAGATTAATACTCATTAAACAGTGTTCTTAAATAAGCGAATTTGAATTACGTTACAGCACTGTTAACCCTTTTTTATTTTACCTATCAGGAGTTAAATCAGTTCTTTCCTCCTATAGGGATGTTGCTGGAGTTCTAAGACGGGCAAATTCCACAGAATATGGTTTAGCTTCAGGAGTTTTCACAAGAGACCTAAGCAAAGCTCTGTACGTGAGTGAAAAGCTAGAAGCTGGAACAGTTTTTATTAACACATACAACAAAACGGATGTTGCTGCACCTTTTGGTGGATTTAAGCAATCTGGCTTTGGAAAAGATTTAGGTAAGTTGTCCTCATTTCTCATCCAACAGTCCAAATCAAGAAATAAAAAAGGGTTCCCTGTAAATAGCACTAGTAACATCTGAGTCATGTATCTGTGCCCTATTTCTATCTGCCTCCAGTTTCAATGAGCTAGTTCCTATCTGCTCCCATCCATCCAGAATTCCTGCCTCAGTACCTCCCATTCATCCTTTCCCGTACATTTGCTAAATATCTGAGTCTCACACAGAATATTCCTTTCCAATTTTTATTGAAGTGATCACACTACAGCTTGTCCAGGGCTGTGTATAAGCTACCAGCAACAAAAGGTACAGGCCAGAGTCTCCTTTTATTTCCCATAGAAAGAATGCTAACTTAGGTCTCTCCTCTAAACTTGTTAGAACATGGAAAATTATTTCCTTTATTACGCCTTAAATTGTGATAAATATTTGCTACTGGGCTCAAGGCAAGACTGCATAAAACTTTTTTCCTTCAGAAAGCAATTAAAAAAARAGAAAGATCTAGTCTGTCAAAGGAGCTTTACAGGTCTGTACAAATCAAGCCTCATACCAAAGAAAGTTAAGAATTTTTTTTTCATAGAGACACAATAGATTTTCCCTTTGGAACCTCTAACAGATAGCAAACATTTCCTGAAACCAACTTATTATCAGAGATAAAAAAAAAAGAAAAAAAGATCTCACAGAAAGCATACTTAGAGGTACTACATTTTCTAGGCAAACCAAACTTCTTCAAAATCCTTTATGAGTCACAACAGTCATCTAGAAATTACTGCTGTTTAACTCCACACAGGTTTAATTCCACACATTCCTCTTTTAAATTCCAGCTCCTTTTTTCTTTCCACATTTGTTGGCTTTGGGCTCTGCCTGTCAACCCATTTCTGTAAATCTCAGCAAAAGGGTAAATTAATCAGTTTGTCATTATTCCTTAAGGGCTTAAAATACTGGCTCCTGCTGTGAACTTTTATAATATAGGTTAACAGTCAGTCATTTACCTGCTGTTCTAACTGGTTAACATTGTGCTCCTACAGGTGAAGAAGCACTTCATGAATACCTTAGAACCAAGGCCATCACTGTGGAATATTAAAGGAACCGTCTCACGTGGAAAGTAAACTGGCTGAGTTTGAGTCTGAAGGACTCCGTGAAGCACTTCATGCAATGTCCAGGGTATCCTGTCCTATGTGGTAAAACTATCGAAACGAGTATCCCCCATCCATGCATAAATTTATATAATACAAGTCCAGATTTTAGTCTCACTGAAAGATGAAAGCACTTGGCAATTAAATAATTTCAGATTAATTATCCAGCAACAGTAACAGGTATTAGCACAAGCAGAACAAAAGGTGTTTGAGCTGGTTTTTTTTTTTTTTTTTAAGTACAACTGAAGAATGTGTTCTCACATGTCTCCTTTTATATTTATGTGAACATACATTTACATGATCATTTTAAATCTCTAGACACAAGGCTTCTCTCAAAGTTAAACTATGTATATTATGCCATTTTTGCTAAAAATGGTTCAAGTTTTACAGTAGCAATTAAACATTCTGCTCTGGTGATTCTTCAGCAGTACAGAAAACCTTTGTGCCATAAGAAGTAAATAACTGCAAGAAAGTGCACTTACTATGATCTTTGTATAGTACATACAGAGTTCAACATTGGTATTAAACTATGCATATCAAGCTAAAGTTACTGAAAAGATTTTCTATCCTTTTGTTGATATATGTGTGATCTGCCTGGGATTTGAAAGGTGGTTACATTAACAGATTAAAATCACTTTTTCTGTCTGTTCACATGGACTGTTATCACTGTTTTATACAGAATGCATATTCATATATCTTAACTTCTTTTCCCCTCTAATCTCTTGCAAAAAAAAATCTCTTGTTAAAGAAAGACTGAGTTAAGACAGTGGCTTTCAAACTGTTTTTTTCCCCCCCTCCAATCTGAATGCAAGCTTTCTGTACAGACCCTAACAAACACAGCTTGCTTAAAACTGCATGCTCTTCTTAGGAGTACCACCCCACCCAAAGCTTCATCTGATCTGTGAGCTGCCATCCAAAAAGCAGTCCCTCCCCTTGCTTCCCATTCTCTAAAATATTCTGTGATTTAATCAGATAATCCCAGTAAACCATAACCTCCTCCCGTTTTTAAGAGTCCATATTGTGAAAGGAAGACYAGAATCCTTGTTAATCTATCCCAARGAGTCCATAAAGAGAAGTTTAAAGAAAACTCAAGATTTATGTGTGAAATTCAAAATAAATTGTGCAATTAATTGCAGTTTTCAAGTCACAGAGTTTGAATTTTAATATTTGAGCAACAGTATGGAAAAAAAATAACTGTGTAGAAAATACAAAGTTCCTTTAAGAAACAAATGATGATATCAAGGAGCATCACAGATACTTCTGAAATGCAAAATGATCTCTAAGGAAAATACACCAGTCCAAATCATTGCTTTTTAACAGTCTGAGGTAAGTATGAATGGCACGTACTTTCACCTACTATGACTCCACAACTAATCTAAGCACAGTTCTTTTCATTCTTCTGGAAAGGACAGMTGTCAATGAAATGGAGAGGATGGAAGCATGTGGCAGAGAAAGCAGGAGATAAAATGTAAGTTTTAGAGCAATTGCAACACCAGTTAGACTAGACCCTTTAAGTTCTAACATTATCTACACTACAGCTACTAGTTCTACTGCTGCTAAAAGCTAGTTTAAGGACTAGCAGCAATCTGTGCATAGACAGATATGTATATATGTATATACATATATATGTACATTCATGTATATATGAAGCCATACAAAGCTCAGTGTAGGCCCAAAAAGCCAGGAGAGCTTGCTGACCTCTCTTGTTTCATGGCTGGTTGTAACACTGTTCTTACCATGCTACCTTACCATGAAATAACCTCAGCCACTGAGGTAGTGTACAGTGGTTACCATCTTCATTGCAATATAGACATACCTCAAATGTACTTTAAGATAATGTTTAATATCGAAGACATGTACATAYCACTTTAGAGGACAATGAATATAGAAAACAAAGCTTTTCCCTCCCTTTAAGGCAAAAACTTTCTGCCACGCTGCAGACTTTTCATCAGTAATGCAAGAGGTCAAGAGTTCTACCTCCTAACTTGATGTGCAGTGTGTCTTCCTACCCAAGTCCCAGCCCCACTTCCAGCTGCTTTCTTAGTAGGACTTTCTGGTGCAGCTCAGTTTCATATCATTTGAGAAAGAAGACAGCAATTCTTCAGATGCAGCTTGCCTCAGAACTACTAGGAAAACAATCATCCAAGTGGATCCTGCATTCCCAACCATATAAACTACAGCATTTTGCATGTTCCTGGTAGACAGGGAACATTGGGAAGCAAGGCAGTTTAAGGGTCAAGTCTTCAAAGCCAGAAAGTGTGATTCTTTCAAAAGTAAAATACAAATSGATTTACTCGTTCACTTTGCTGTCCAAAATTTCTATTTTGCTCTTTTCTCCCTTTTGTTTAGGGAACTTAATGTTGTCTATTGTCACTTCTTCGGTTGTACAGTCATCTTCAGATTCTGAGTCATCATCTGAGAGTGATACCTCTTCATCTGTATCAGAACCACTCAGTTCAACTAAAGCCACGTTCTGCAAAGAGGAAAAAAATATTACACATTTCAATATAGCACCTTTCATTTGTTTAAAACATAAAGCAAGTAGATAAACAACCCTATCACCTTAAGAAAACTCCAAACCCATGATTAGAAAGACATTTGGGTTCTTGTGGAATTAAAAACTAATCACGAACACATATCCAGTGTTTTTAAAATGTAATTATTATGCCCCATAGTAAATGAGCATTTTTACATCATTACCAGAGAAATGAGTACATAGCTGAACTCAGATAATCTAAATCAGATATTTAAGTTAATAAGCATAGGCATCAAAGCTGTACTTTTCAGTGAAGAATTCAAATCAAGCCATTTAACGCATGAGGGATCATGATACATATATAGACATAGGTATACATAAGTATTTTTAATATAAATCTTGATCTTATAATCCACCATTTGTCTTGGTATTAAAACTACTGCAAAACAGCAAGTCATCTGACCACCATGACATTTTGAAGCAAAAGTAATCATATATTTCCATCTGCAGTACCATAGTTTTGATTTCTTTTCTCTTTGGAAACATTTGTCTTCAACATGATCCTCACCTCAAAAACTGCCTGCATGCTGCAAAGCGACACAAAGGACCTGAGATGTCAATAAATTTCTTCAGTGATCTGCAAATAGCCATATGCTATTCATCATCTCATCTCTTGTCTGTTTTTTTATTATAAAGCCAAGACACTTGTCAGACATTATCACATGAAATATGTTTTCTGTCCAAGTTACTTGTTCCATTTGAACATATCAAAGTAATTTTCATGATCAGCTTTGTTTTCTCACCATTTGGAATTCTTTCAACCAATCCCTGTGCTGGACAACTTACAGCACGTAAGTTGGACACAGCCTGCAACAACTCTCGAGTCCAACTTTGTGGGCAGTAAGTTGTTCTGACAGCTCCAGCTCCAGGCTGCCTTATTTCCTGGAAGGCTGCAGAGCAGCAGGCCCTTGCCTAGGCCAGGCAATCTTCCAGCCATTTGATTAGATGCACATAGCAGAGCCACTGCGTTTTGTAATTTTCTTGGGGTGGGAGGGACATGACTGCAGCATTTTAATTACCAAGAGAAAGCGAATGATGATGTGAATATAAATAAATGGACAAACACAAACCCTAAAGATATTAATGACTTTGTTAACCAAAGCTCTACAGCCAGGCCTAAAATACCTACAAAGAAGAAAGTCAGTTATTCTTAGTTGTCAGTTATTCTTAGTAGTCAGTTGTTATTCTAAGGCTTTCAATTCACAGATTTCAGACTAAAACAGTAAAGACTTGACCTTATCTATCAAACTAGTTAATCCTAAGGTTAGAGAATTATTCTAATTCTTAACCTCCTCTCAATTTATTTTATAAGATCGAAAATACTGTACACACTTACCATTTCTACAACATTTTCTGTTGCACTGTCTAGATTTTCAATATCAAACTGATGAGCTGGTGCTGTTAGCATTTTTCTTCTTAGCTCATCATTTGCATGTGCCATCTGTGGTAGAAAGCTCTGCACTCTGTCCAAAACTACAACAGAAATAATTATAATATATAATGAACATCAATAAAAATATGTGTGTATATATGAACAGACACATATATGTATGTATATATGTACATACACATACGCACAGAGACACATTAATATATGCACTAATACAGAAATCTGAACATTAAAAAAATTCAATTTCTATTGTAATTTACAASTGCCTGCCATATCTAGAAAGAAGGGATTTATTACAATATTCAATTTCCTAAGACACACACTGCAAAATGATAAAGAATCTGTCAGCACTAGTCAGCCTTTCMGTAAGAAATCACTTAACAATTCTATTTGGATTCTTAAAATGTGGCTAGCTTAAAGAAAAYATGCTCACAAATTCCATTGGTTTTAAAATATATATCTTGAAAAATTTCAATATCAGTATTACCTCTAATGGAAATATAATTTTGCCTTTCCTTCTTCTTAAAGTATAGACTGAAAGAAGATGGAAAAAATAGCTACAAAAAATGTCATAGGTGTCAGGCTGCTGCACAAAAGGAATTAATACAGTATCAACAGGGCGCTCTGAAATGAGGATGACTGGGAAACAGACATGCTCTAGGCTGAAGCATAAAGCACTAGTGTTCTGCAGAACTCTCTCTCTAAACTCGGTGAGACTTCCCAACAATTTTGAGATAATCACTGTCATGAAGAGAGTCAGACACATTCCCCTACCATGGAGGAAGACAGTATTTTCATCTGCTTCCAGAATTTCTTCCGACAGTCTTTTCTGCTACACATGGCAGATCTAATCTCCAGTCTTCACTCCCTAGGAAGTAGGTATAGGTTTAACCTTCCTCCCTAAAACCTGTCATCTTCCTAAAGACTTACATTCAAGGAAGAATTCGATATTACAGATTAGTTTGCCCTTCTATTATTTTTAAAGCTGAGCTCCAATACAAGCATAGTAATTTGAAAGTAATGCAACTTAAATAAAGTTACAAAAATGATCTGTGTATCCCATACTGATTTGAAAGCAGATGACTAAACAAAGATTTACGTTACAACCCAGCTAATTCACTATATGCGTAAGAACCATGTCCCTAAAACTGACAACCATAAAGCTTAGCATCACAAAATCTAGATTTTTGGTAAAAGTTGCATTTGCGCCTCCTGCACATTAATCACACAACCATAGGGAAGGAGTAACACCAACAGGAACAGAACACAAGAGCCTCGCTCCCTCTAAACACAAGGATATGTCTGAAGATTCATTGAGGCTGGACTAAGTTATGTCCAATAAACACATTAAATAGTACTTGACTGTGTTCAAGCAGCGAAGTTCTACGTACCATTACTCCTTGGCATTCTAACTGTCTGTAAAGTTGTGGCCTTCTTGTTGCTAAATTTCGAACTAATCAACAATGTTTCTTCCAGTCCTGGAAACAAAGAAGAAAAAAGTATCTGAATATTTACCTATGTGACCATGAATGTCACATTCTCACTGCTACTTTTTCACCTTTCKACAACAAATTTAAGACAGATCAAGATTCCACCATCTCTGTCTCCAAGAATTCCAGGCCACTTTCCTGCAAGTATTGTTTCTTGACATTTGTTTGGAATGGATCATGAATGTACTTTGTTATATAGCAAACATCTAGAACTTGCCACCTCGGGAGGTTATTAAAGCAGACAGACAGATTAGCACATTCAAAATGGAACTAGACAAATTCATGGTCACAAATGGATACTAGAATAACTGAGCGAGAATCACTCTAACATCCTGACCCCAACAGGTATAGACAGTGTGAAGCACAAGATGCACAGGCAGCAGAATGTGCTTTTGATAACTGCTCTCTATAATCAGCATTTTCTATTGCAATGACCAGTCTGCTGAGCTGGACAGATCACTGGTCTGACGCAGCAGGTTATTTCTTACAGATTCCTCTATTTTTTTAAGCCTTTATCAAAGGTCTACTGCACAACTAYTACCAATAGATATTTGTAGCTGTAATATCTTCATATGACAGGATATTACAGGTATTACAGGATAACCATTCAGCTGTGTGAAGTCCATTTGCTGTCCCCTTCTCTATTACACAGAAAAGTACCTTGCCACACCATGTTCCACCAAGGAAGCAGTTAATGTGCCTGAGCTGCACTGCTTAAAAATCCCTTCTCTTCCATATATGATGGGGGTGGAGATGAATGAAAGCAGGCCACAGGGATGGCTAAGCGTATCTTCAAGGTTTATCAAATCCCAGTGAAATTTTGCATTAGAATCAGACAAGTTAATTCTCATGACTACCACAAGAACCATCAGTCATTTCTCATTAAGTAAGATGAAGCTCGATTTCTCTTTAATATTTGTTTCCCCGGTAGAAACGTTGCCATGCCTGCCCACACTAATTTAATTTGTCGATGTTTCCTTTTATTTTTTTTTTTTTTAGTTTTCTCTGAATTATTATTATTTCTCCGCCTCAAAAGCTGTTAGCAGTAAAGGCAATATAACAAAATGTGACTTAATGTAAAGCGGCGCTAGCAGCTGCTGCTAGCTGAGAGGCCTCCCGATCAGCGCCGCCTCGCCCCCCCGATCCCGAGAGGCCCCCGGGAGCGCGGGGAGGCGCGGGGAGGCGCGGGCAGCCCCGCGGCGCCGCTCACCTCCTCGGCGCCCCACGGCCAGCAGCTCTCGGGAGGCGGCCGCCCCGCCGGCCCCGCCGTCCTGCGCCATGCGCTGCTCGCGACGGAAGCGGCCGCCGCGCTTCGGGCTCCGCCGCCGCCCGCGCTGCCGCAGCGCCGCCCGCAGGCGGGAGGTCCGCAGGTGCCGCCGAGGAACCTTCTCGGCAACGGCCGCGCCGCGGCGGGGCGCTCCCGGGTAACGGCCGCCACGGGGCGGAGCCTCCTTGGTAACGGCCACCACGGGGCGGAGCCCCCCTCGGTAACGGCCGCAGCGGGGCGGGCGCTCCCCCGTAACGGCAGCGCCGCGGCGGGGCCCTCCTCGGTAACGGTCGCAACTGGGCGGAGCYCCCCTCAGTAACGGCCGCAACGGGGCAGACGGTCCCCGGTAACGGTAACCCTGAGCTAAGAAACTATCCGTTTACACTACTCTGGAAAGGAAGTGGCGAACTGAGGGGAAAAAATACTAATGTTAATTCTCAATTTCATGACCTTTGGTTAGCACAAACCCCACAGAAACGTGAACATGCCTATCCCAGTTCGAATGAAGGGTTAGAAATGTAGAAAGGAAAATGACTCTCATTGCAGAGATTTTTTTTTCCTTATGAAATGATTTTGGCATGAAAAAATACATCAATCACTTCTAGAGGAAAAAAATGGGGAAAAAAAAGTATTAAATTCAGCAAGCAGAGAATTTTACTTGAATGCCTAGCAGCTAAGTATCTGCTTTTCTGAAACCTTTCCCATGTTCATTATCAGAATCTGACAAATGCACCTAAGATTAAATTTTACACCCCAAGGGAACTTTAATTATTCCTTTGGAAAATACATTTATACGACTGTCAAGTTTAGCTGGCATAGGTCAACCTGTTATTCAGGATTTGCTCTGCCATTTGTGTTCCTATCACAACTGAGACCATGTGCAAGCTGTAAAAAGAGAACTGAATAGCTCATAAGAGATGAGGTGGAAAGTCCAGGCCAAAATTGAAAAAAAAATACAGCAATCATGTAAGTATTGCTCCAATATGAAATGTGAGACACCTTTGGGGTTTGTCCTTTTTATCTTTCATTTTTCCCCGAAGGTCCTAATGATTATATACCCTTGCTGCATAAGAAAAAAAAAATGGAAAAAAAAAMCCTCACACCCTGATATCTCAGAATTAACAAATGTAAAGGTGTTGGAAGCAAACCAGGAAACCACATTGGTTTGTTCCTGACAGAGGTTTCCCAAAGCAAGGGAAACCTCCTGTGCTACTTTTCCAAGCAGCTGCAGAGCCAGGTGCCTCTGCTGTTTCTGCCACCGCTGCATCAGGAATTCACATCACTCACACAGGCGAGTTCACATCTTTCACTCAAATGTGCTCCTCATTTCCAGGTTCCAAGAAAAAAATCTACTGATTTTTTTGAAACATCTACTGATCTACTGTAGATTTTGAAAATCTACTGATTTTTTTGAAAAATCATGAGGGTTGAGGTTTCTGTGTATCAGGCCACAGAACCCGAGTCTTTCTGAATGTGCACACAACCCAAAGTAATAATGTGTGGGTGTCAAATAATGTGTTTCATCAGCAGGTATTAAGTGATTTCAGTGTGTGGCAGGGACATGATCCTGCCAAGGAACCTGTAACGCAGACATAAGAAACAGGTTGCCCAAAATTGCAAGCGATTAGGAGAGTCAGAAATTGCACCCTTAGGTGCTGTTCCGCAGCCTTCAACATGTGCTCTAACCTATAGGCAAGAGCAGCRCATGAAACCTTCATCTGGTTGGGAAGGTCGTCCAGCTCTGTGTCCTGGCACTTAACATATAGGTATACACAAAAGGCACGCGTGTATATCCTTGCTGGGGGCTGGGAGACAAAAGCTCCCTTCGTCCAGCTTCTCATAAATTCAAGCTTGAGGCAGCATTTGCCACTGCATTAATAGTGCTCTAGTTTGGCTGCTCCATTCACTTAGTGCAGTGTTGACTCAGAGTTCGAGATGGTGTGGGACATTTCACTCCTGTAGAGCAGATTATTTTGGCCCCAGTCCTGCAAATACTTTCTCCCATGCCTACCTCTCCACTTTTCACTTTTCCACATGTATTCACAGTGCTTAGCTCGCTTATGACAGATCCTTGGTGCCTTGCCCATGCTGTCTATTGTTCTGCCAATAGAAAGGAAAAGAGATGCTGCCAAGCTTGTCTGCCATCATTAAATCCAGGTTGTGTTTTTTTTTTTTTTTTTTTTTTTTTTTCACCTCTTTCTTCCTTTTCACTTTCCACTTAAGGTAACCTCACAGCTCGTAAGCATAAAGCAAGAGCACGGGAATAGCATTAGCAGTAATGCTTTGAAAACACATTCTCAACTGCAAAAATACAGACACTTTAATATTATCTAAAGAAGTAAATGCGTCTCAAGTCAACAGCTCTGATGAACAGCAAGCCCAGCAAGGCTATGGCTTTGCAACAAATTAACTTGCCATAGTCAATTTAAAGGCAGTAACTCGCAGGTTTCATTTTAAGCAACTGCTTAAAGTTTTCAACACAAATACATTCTGAACTGAACACTGTTAACATTTGGGGGGAATTTATTTTTAGCCAGGCTACATAAGAAGGGTGAAAATGTTGTAAGCGTTCCCTAACATTCTGAAATGAGTCAAAAATGCTGAGCTTTGTGTAATGTTGCCAAGGCCGCTTTTGCAAGTGGAAGCAAATGCATCGTYGCGGCCTGCCAAGAAAGCAGTGGAGAGTCTGGTGCTCGCTCTGCTTCCCAGCCTTTTGTCCGCCCCGCGCTGCAAAGCATTAGCGGGGCAGCGTGGAGGGGAGCAGCGTGGAACCCCGTCTCACACGTGGCTGCGGTTGGGTGTGGAAGCCAACGGAAAACGGGGAGGATTTGGGGGAGCCAGGAGCAAGGCGGCGAGCGCGGCCGGCCGTGCCAGGCCCCCTGGCCTTGCCCGCCGCCTGGCACGGGTGCGGGGGACGTGGCGCCGCGGCGGCAGCGCTGCGGCTGCCCACGCCAGGGGAGCCCGGGCAGCGGCGCCACAGGCTGCTCGTTCCGTTAGTCAAACTCAGCGCGATTATTAACTCTTTTTTTTTTTTTTTTTTTTTAGTTACTATTTCCTAACGCAGGTGCTGAGAAGGCGGCAGCGATGCCCGTCGCCCCGGGCGGCCCGGCCGCGCAGCGGAGCCCGCCCGGGGGGCCAGGCAGGTAGGAGCGGGCGCGGGGGGCGCCGCGGAGCCCGCGCCTCCCGCCGAGGCAGGGGGGGACGGTTGGGCCGCCGCGGAGGTGACGGTTGGGCCGCCGCGGGGGTGACGGTTGGGCCGCCGCGGCCCCTCCCCCGCACGCTCCCTCGCCCGCTGCCGGGCCGGAGGCGCCGGTGGCGGCGGCTGCAGCGCATCACGGGCCACATCATCGCCGGGGCTGCCCGCCCTCGAGCGCCTCCCGCGCCTGCTCAGTGGCGGCGGCGCTCACCTAGCCCCGGAGCTGTCAGCGGCGCCGCCGCGCTGCTCGCGCCCCGCAGCGGTGGAGCGGCGCCGCGGGCAGCTGCCGCCCTCCAGGTGAGGCGCCGCCGCGGCCCGCACGGACGCCGCCGCCGCCGGAGCGGGACGAACAGCGGGCCGGGCGGGCGCGGGGGCGGCCGGGCTGCCGCGGTGCGGTGGGGGGGGCGCGGGCCCCGCCGGCGGAGGCGGCGAGCGGGAAAGTTTCCCGGCGAGCGGCGGAGCCGAGAGGCGCTGCCCTCCTGTCCCCGCGGGACGCGCCGGCCCCACCCCGGGGGTCAGTGGCTGCGCCGGCACTCCGGGATATACGGCCCGTATGTACGGTAGGGCTCGCCCCCTCCCCGAAACAAGAGGCGCCCCTCGCTTTTCCGCTGGGGCGCGCACTTCCGTATATACGGCGCTGCCGCGGGCGCTTTGGGCCCCGCGCTCCTGCCGCCCCCGGGCCGGGCCGGGCTGGGTCGTGGGGCTGCCCGAAGCCGCGCGCGCTCCCGCACCGCGCTCCCGCACCGCGCTCCCGCACCGCGCTCCCGCACCGCGCTCCCGCACCGCGCTCCCGCATCGCGCTCCCGCATCGCGCCGCGGCAGCCAGCACCGCGGCAGCCAGCGTCCTGCTGATGCTGGAAGGCGTGATGACCCCGCGTCCCGCTCCCTGCCCTCCTCAGCGCTGCGAGCTCTTGGCGTCGCGTGTGCGCGTAGCCATGCGCTGCTCTGCATAGTCTGGATAAGGATTCATTTGGGTTTCTCTGTGCAAGATCTGTCCAGCATTTCAAGTGATCTTCATTTCTTATCATTCTCCTCATCATCGCTTATTTATGTTTCTGTTCCTAGCTTTGCATCTATAAACACGTGCCATAATCTGCCACCAYAGATGCAGGTGCCAGGAAGATGTGAAAAACATGGGTCCCTTACCTGTACAAAATATATGAGGACTTGGGCTGTCATCTTTCTATTGTTGTTCACAAGCCCTATAATTAACATGCATTGTGCTCTTTCCATACTTGCCTGTCCAAACATAAGTGCTCTTTGTGATTTATTCCATTTTAGTATCTACTTTGTCACCAATTTTCAGTTAGGTTCAATCAATCGGTTACGTTCAGTTAGGATCAATTAATTCCTCCATCTCTTGGTTTAATTTCCATGAACTGCATCACAGTTCCCCCATCCTGTCCAGGATGCGATTATGCAAACCTTCTTAACTTGTAAAAGATCCTAGATTGCAGATATGATAACCAGGCTCTGATAAGCAAACATACAAAACTGAATTTAATCATTGCTTAATCTTAATGCCAGGAAGAAAACATAAAAAGGCAAGGCACAAAGGCAAGGCACAAAAGGCAAGGCACAAAGGCACAAAATCTGCTTGTATATCTCCACTTGGTAGAGTCGTGCCAACCTTTAGCAGACACCCTATATTATCCTCACTTTTTCAGGTCATTTTATTCTCTGTACCTGGCTGCACAGTTTGAGACAATGTGTTGTTTTAGATCTAGAGTTTTCTCTTTCCCCTGTCAGCGCATAATGCGCTTGTAGGAATGCTAAAGCAATATTATGTATGAATTATTCTATATCTTCCTGGGTTTTACTTAACTTTGTTGAAGCACAGACCAGCTGTGACCTTTCTTGAGTTTTTCAGAAAAGTCTATGCAATGTTCTAACTCAGGTTTACTGACTGTAAAGCCTTAACCTACAGGAACTGAATTTCCCATGTAGCATTCTACAAGAGTACTCCATATCCAAGATGTATCAAACATAGTATARAAAAATTTACAATCCTGTGAATAACTTTGAAACAAAGCTGCCAAGGAAATAAATCTACTGGAGTTTGCAGATGTTATGATTTAATATGAGTGCATACATATACACCTGTTACATTGCAACCTAATGCTTTCACTTCCGTGTTTCTGTATAAATGTTACTTTCTGATCCCTTTCCTGAACTGAATTCTTACACTACAGCTCTGTGATTACTTCGAGCCAAATTAACTGCAGGTTTCCCCTTAATTAGCAGTTGCATTCTTTACTTCAGCTARAAGAACAAAATCTAGCCCCTAAAACACAAAATGTAGTCTCTAAAACTATTCAAAATTATTTTTTGACTCCATCTGTTCCCTCACTAGGCTTGCTCATTTGTGTGGCTCAGGGACCGTACAAATGGTTAATGCTGTTGAAAMGGTGAGAATAGGTGGCAATACCTGTTTTTGCAGTCTCTACTACTGTTGGCTTGAAGAGATTGTGCAACTTTGACCAGATTACTGCAGTAGGAGTTGTAGACTCTTCCGAAGAAGAAACAGCAACATATCTTTTATATTTTTTTTCCCAAATACTTCATCATTCCCCCCAAAACAACATGCAATCTTTATCATAGTGTCTGAGTTAATATGGAATTCATCTTCCRTTAGTGAGGACAGTAGAAACCTGTAGGCAGCATTCCAAATAGTACAGTTCGGGCTCATCCGGGTGAGTATTTATTATTTAATCTAGAGGAGTGCATGTATTGTCTTTTGTATTTCACACTTTTACACCTACTTGTGATGAGCTGGGTGTGATTTGCCAAGTAGTTTTTACATAGGAGTCCATTTGAGTTTAATTCCGCACCTGGCCACATTTCACAGCATTGCCCCACCTSGTTTTGGGGTGTGTTTTGGTCTTTCTAACTGAATTGCCTTTAAAGTAGAGGCAAAGCCTTTTTCTGACAGCTGCTTTTTCTTTCCTTGAGGCCAAAATCAAAAGCTGCCGTGTTCAGGAAGTGGAATGCAATAGTCTAAAACGTGTCTGAAAGTTGACCCTGAGGCAAACTGCTCTAATGTTTTACTCATATTCAAGAAGACATTTGGAGGTTATTTCATCTATTCTTTTTCCTTATTTTTTTTYCCTCTTGTTTCTGTTAGTGCTGATTTAACCTGACAGATGCTGTACAATAAACACTGCATTAACCAGTTTACTGCGCAGTATTTGCAAAATTATATGTAATGTCCATATTTGCCTTGCAATCAACATTTATTAACTTCCATCATGCTTTCTGATCTTTAATCCCAAACCCTAAGCATCTGTTATTAATAATCTTAGTCCCATGCAGCACTTTAGACTGTGCTATCAGCAAAGTGGCTAATGACAATGCCATCTGTTTATTACTCTCCATATATGCTGAGGTGATCCAAAACTGCTTTCACTTTCTATGTTTACAARGATTTAGCAATTTAAAGATTAGTCATAGCTGTATATGGATGTCACTGTATTACTGGGAACTTGTATTATACAAGACAGTTATAACTGGGGATATAAGGCCCTCCAGAGCTGTCTATTTTCTATGTAAAACTTACAATGAACTTAAAAAAGGAAATCTCACCTACCAAACTTGCCAGAATCACAGGGGTGTGAATGAGCCTCWAGAAACTGTCTGGTCCACCTGCCCTGACTCGGAGCAGGGGCAGCTAGAGCAGATTGCTCAGGGCTGTGTCCAGTCAAGTCATCATATCCACAAGGCTGGAAACTGCAGCCTGCCTGGACAACCTGTTCCAATGTTTGACTTGCCTCATAGTAAACAAAAAACCCCAAACCTTTTCTCACACACAAATGGAAATCAGTGCTTGAATTTATGCCCATTTACTTTTTTTACTTTTGCTTTATACCACTGAGAAGTCTATCTCTGTCTCGCCTCTCCATGCCGTCCTCATATGGCAGATGCCCCAATTCTTTAATCGCTTTTATGGCCCTTCACTGTACTTGCTGCACAAAACCCATRTCTCTAGTCCTGGGCTCCCCAATACCAGAGACTTGGTGTCCACAAGGACCCCACTTTCTGCAAAGCTTTACCAGCCAGTTGGCCCCCAGCCTGTGCTGGTATGTGGGCTTGTTCCTCTCAAAGTGCAGGACTTTGCATTTCCCTATGTTGGACCTTCCCCCTATTGAACTAAGTTCCTGCTAGCAAGTTTTAATCAGTTTATTGAGGTGCCTCTAAATGGCAGCACAACTGCTGGATATAACCTACTTATATGGGTCTGTAGACATGGATATGGCCATTTCATTATGACCTTCCTTGTGATTTTTGTTCTACACYGAGCAGATGGGAAAGCCCCATAAAGGGGAAAGAATCGTATACTAAATATCCAGTAATTGTAGAAGGTGTCGTAGGAGATTGTTTAAAAATACATGATCAGCATCCCTTCCATGCTACTTAAACATGGTGATTTACATATACAATTCAGCATCAGCGACATCTTTCCTGAATTAATAAATGCCAYTTCCAAACATATTCAAAATTATGACAATCTAGCCTTGTGTAAATCAATAGCAAAATTCTTATTGCTGTACATGTGGTTAGTTTTTCTGGTAGGAAAAACATAAATGGCAATCATCCCAACAACTTTGTACTGTTTCTTTTCAGCTCTTAACCATCCAGACTGGCCTCTTTCCCCTTTTGTAACTTTTGCTGGCTGACTGAATCATTTTTCTTTCTCTCTCTCTCTCTTTTTTTTTTTTATTTTTAGTGTTATTTATTTTATTAACACTTTCTCATATTAAATGAAACCACAACCTCTCCGAAAGATTTGTTTATTAATAAAAAATAAACACAAAGTAGAAAATTTTGAGGAGAAAAAAGACAAAAAACATGTGGTTTTAAGATACAGATAATTACCACAACTATTTTTGGCCGAAGTTCCAGAACAGTGAATAATTTCCGTGAGTCACCAGCCTAGTGCTCCAGTGATACGCTTGGAAGACATATTGGGGAAACCACAATGAGAGCCAGGCTCTGCCTCCTTAGAGCTAGTGGGAAATTTATTCACTTTATTTCACTGGGAGTGAAATAAAACCCCTCATTTGCTACTCTCCTATCCCTTCCTGGACAAAAAATAGGAAAAAAAAAAAAGAAACAGAAAAGACCGCCTGAACAGTGATGTTGCTTCAGGTCTCAGTAAGTGTCATTCACCAAGGGCTCTTCTAYATTGTAATTCCACATCCTGTTATATATTTGTCATAAATGTTTGTCTAATCTGGATGCACCTYGTGGTCAAGTAAAACTGAACTGGCTAAAGTGACTTTACATCCAGGGTGCCACTTTGCATCTTCATAAATCAGTCGGTAACAAGCAGCACACTCAGCTATACTATTCTTGAAATCTTTATTTTTTCTCAGATTCCCATGATCCTCTCATCTAGTAATATTCTTCTTATTTACTCTGTTTCAAACATTATAAATCTTTGAGGATGCATTATAACAGGGGCATAAATTCAGACCTCTATTTATACTGCTTTTAGTAGGCAATAGCTTTGAGATCTCCACTCCATCAAATTTAGTTGAACTTTCTCCAAAAAAAAACCTGTGTGATTTTAAAAACATAAAAATGGAGGGAGGGAAGTAGTAGGGACTGTAACACAAAAGGGAGCCCCATGTTCTTAGGAGAATAGATTTAAAATCCTCCAATCCTAAACTATTTTTATTTCCTACAGTTTCTAAAAATACCTGATTTTCTGGTTCTGCATTGATACAGTGTCTTGATCTTGTGRAGCTGTGTTATTCTGCGTCATGCTAGGGTAATCCCCCTAATCTCCATTTCTTTGTTTATGCAAATCTTTTATTTATTTCTGGAGTCTAGTGGTAAATACCAAAGTCAACAAAACTGCAAATCAAATTAATATTGTTTTTCTTCTAGGAAACTACCACAACGGTTATTGTAACCCGAAAGTTGAAGACGATCAAGGTAAAGGGGCTTCTGATAGAGGAAATACCAAGTGACTTGAGCCTGTCAATACATCATTGTTTAATTTTCTAACATAGTGGAAATTTAAAAGTTAAAATAAATGCACATGAAATCACACTAAACATATGTAAACATATATATTATGTTTGCATCACTCTCAGAAAGCAAAATAAACAAACCATATTTAGTATTAATACTGATCAAATGATTTCATTTTAGTGCTTACCAGACATCAGAATAACCTATTTTTCAAGAAATATCTGCCATGTACACCCCATGCAAAACTAAATTAGTCAGATTTGAATTATCCCAACACCTAGCATTTTTAATTGTTCTAATTTAATTTTTTTAATATGATACGCATTTGTGAGTATAGCAGTGTGGATTTGTTTTTAAATTAGACTCATTAAAACTGTTTTAGAGTAATTAGTCTGAATTTTAAGACTTTCTTTCCATGATATTATAGTATTTTATGAAAAATGTTCGATTTTGTTGCATATAATAGCTCTTTAGTTATATTTAGTGTAATTTTTGCTTCAAAGCAGTTTCAGTAAATATGGTTTTAATTTCAGATGCTTTCAAATTGTACATATGAGTACCAGTTTGTCATTGTTTTATTGGGGAGGGGATGTCGGGGTCATCAACACATAAGGCCTTTCCACCCTGTAATCCTTTTAGGCTTACCACCTACARCAGTGTTTGGAAAGCWTTTTTTTTTTTTTCCTCTTTGTGGCCCAAATTCAAGGCACTTCCACCTGTCTGTGCTCTTGCACTTTCTCCTTACACTTTTCTCTGGGGACTATCTGGTAGGCAGAAACTTGGGCTGCAGGAAAGCTAAGGCTACACATGCTGCCTGATGGTGTTGGCTTCCCACACCTTGAGAAAGCAAAAGTCAGGGTGTCACTATATTTATTTACAGTCCATATTGCTCTCTCTTTCACTCACTGGACAGAATGTGGGTTCGAGTATCTTCCTCATGCACTTGCTTTCCCTTTTTGCCTTTTAATTTCATCCAAATTAGAGAGTTAAAGGTTGGAGTAGATATGCCTTTCTGTAAACACTAGTGTTGAAAGGTATTGGATGAGCTGATAATTTAGGCTAGTATTTTGGGTCTTCCATATAGAGATAAAATWTTTTAAAGCTTGAATTTTTATTCTTTTTTTTCCAGATCCAACCTTACTTTTGGAATTGTTCAAGATCTGAGATCAATGAGAAGCCCTTTTTGCATGCAAAAAAGGATCATTTTGGTTATCCATTTTAAAATTGAACGTGACATTTGGTGACTCATCTACAGGATTTCTTTGGGGACCTCTGAGGAACGAAGTACTTTTCCAACCTATACTTCTGTAACACTATGACTAACTGTAAAGGCAGATCTACCATCACCAAAACAAATAGCAAAGCTCATGACAGAGAAGGTTTTGTTAATTGGACCATAAATCTTAATACAATTCAGTCTGATAAATTTTTGAACCTGCTTTTGAGTATGGTTCCTGTTGTTTACCAGATAAACCAGGAGGAAAGACACAAAAAAGTGAATGGTGTCTGGCAAGATGGATTGCAGACAGCAGGACACAATTTTAATGTTAGATCTGATCAGCATGTGGAGTACCATCACTTCTCAGAACCCACTTTCCATGGTAGTAATGGACACAGCCCATCTAGCTGTAGCCCTAAATATGATGATTTTTCCAGTTACAATTACTGTGATGGAATGGAYGCTTCAGAAACAGATGCCATGTTGCAGGAAGATAACTTATCTAGTGACAGTAAAGAAGATGTCATTGTGGAAGGGAGCAGAAAACAACCCAAAGAGTCTAGTAGTATTATGGCATTACAGATACTTGTGCCATTTTTGTTAGCAGGATTTGGAACTGTTTCCGCTGGCATGGTTTTGGATATTGTGCAGGTTGGTATTTGCTTTGGAAGTCATTTCTTTAACAGGTGATCTGTGGGTTTTTCAATTCTAATGGAGAGTATTGCAGATGTTTACAATAATAAGCCATAATTATATCTACGTATGTTTCGAATGCCTCATTTTCCCCAGACTCCTTTTAAAACAGTACTAGAATTTCATTAGGAGTTATTCAAGCCTGGGTAAGAGTTGTCACCTAGTCTTAGTAAACTGGTGAATAAACTTACCTCTTGTTTTAAATAAAGATAAAAATCTAGTAACAAAAACATGCTGGTTCAAAAATCTGTTAACATTCTATGATTCTATGATTAACAAATGTATACATAATTAAGTGGACATTGTAATAAATTGGATGTGCTTTAAGATCAAGTTTTAATTTCCTGCTAGAATTAAGAGAAATGTTACTAAATTTCAGAATACTTTCTAATCATTGGTTTGCTGTATTAGTAGTGTAATTTAAGTGGTTGAAATTATATTAACAYGTACAAAATAAAACAAATTACAAGCATTAAACTGCAATGTGAAAAATCAGTATTCCTTTTCAGAGAGAGTAAGAAATAATTATTGATTAACCAGAGAAAAATAAAAACTTCAAATTATCTTTATCTAAAAGATAAAAGTCTTTATCTAAAAAGTCTTTATCTAAAAGAAGAGACGAAAATGCAGTAGCAGAGCCGTATTCATTTAGGAATTCATTAGGAATTCTCCATGTCATAATTGTGACATTTTATCTAGACAGATAGCAATTTTAAAGTCTTCTAGGTCTAATATTAAAAGGTTGTTTCTTATAGAAACTTAGGTTGTGAATTACAGAATTTTAGACATTGCTTTAAGGATGGTCTAACGAGAATTTTTGATATTTTTTCCCCTCTGTATCCAATAAATAGCACTGGGATGTGTTCAAGAACGTTACTGAAGTTTTCATCCTAGTTCCTGCACTCCTTGGTCTCAAGGGAAATTTAGAAATGACGTTGGCATCCAGACTATCGACTGCTGTAAGTACCTTCTTTCATTTTCTCTGAGCCATCCTTCTCATCAGATAGGCTAGATTTTTGAGATTTACCTTTATATTCTATAAGCTTTACTTGTCTCTTTGGCGCTGATGGGTTTCAGTGGGCTGCTGTGTAAGGTTTAGACTCATTTTTGAAAAGACCAGTTGTGTGACACCAAAATAACACATTGCTTGCATTGCTATTCCAGACTCAAACCATGAGAAACATTTTTAAACTTTCCAGCTAAGTGGKTTTTTTTTGTACTAGCACTGTAATTTCCTGTAAGTAGTTCTTTTCTATGCCTTTTTGTGTATGTCACAGTTCTTTTTTTATGTCTCAAAGTATGTTCTATCCTTTCATTTTTCTGGCCTAAGAAACCAGATTACCTTCACATGTGGGCATGTGGGCTTTTTTTTTTTTTTTTTTTTTTTCTCTTCTGTGTACATAACTAGCATGAACAGAATGCTCCATTAACTTGGCTAAACTATTTCTGGTACCTGAGCTATCTTAGGTATCTCTGTAACACTCTGCCTTATGCAGTATTTCTTCTCTATAAGATAAGGATTTTATTCTCCRGCAGGGAGCTTTCTCTATCTACTCCTGCTTGAATAATTCTTTTCTGGTTAAAGGATTAGTAAAAGTTGTGTATAATTCCAGATGAGACCTCACTATGGGTTAAAACAGCACTTCCTTATTTCTCTTAAAATAACRCCCTTGAAAAGTTGCAGGATTATATTTACTTCTGTTCCTGGGAGCATCACTTTTATACCTCCTAGTCACTAGATGATCAATTGTGGATTCCTGGTGTTTTTCCTTTTGTGTTGTTTCCAGTTATCACTTCCATCTTCTGGCAGAACTAGTGATACTCAAAAAGCATGTGACCTCTCACATGACTTCTACTGTTGAATTTCATCTGGTTTCATTGCTGTAGTCATCATGGTCAGCTACCTGCTGTATGATATTACAGCTCTTCATCTTGATAAGGCCTCCCAGCTTTGTTTCATTAGTACATTACATTATCACTTTAGGTTGAGTTATCACCCAAAAAAACGCTGTGATGGGGGTAACCTTAGCAGCCCTGTGAAGGTCTGCYTGTGTCATGCCCATTATAGAAATTGAATGAATTTCCCCCATACTCTTTCTTTCATACAACTGAACAGGCATGTTTAGTTTTGTCTTCATCAGTGGTAATCTTAATTATTCAGACATATTTTCTGCTTGATTTTAATGTTCTTAGTTTTCTGATTCTTTCTAGTTGTTTCTTGATAGTAATTTGCCTTTAAACCTTACTGCTTTTACTGTCCAGCATGAATATTTTAATTTACCTCGCACTTTTTTTTTGGTGCTGACGTCACTTAATTTGTTCACATCTTACACAGTTCCTTGCCTGAGCATTCAAAGCATTTGTACTGCTTCATAAAGAATAAACCCAAAGAAGTTCAGTATCTGCAGTGCCTTACTGAAAGTTTAACAAAAGAGGGTCCCCCTTAGTTCTGCTTCAGATAATGTGATCTTTAATTCTTCAATCTCACTTGTAGCTCAAGCAAAAGATGAGGTATATTGCTGGGTGTCTTACTAATGAACTACAAAAAAGGGCCTTTTCTTACAAATAACTTCACAACTTTCCCTTCTGTGCCTTTTTCTCATGATCCACTTCAGTTGTGATGTGCACAGTTCTGTGAGCTTGAGCGTAGCCAGGCATCCTCATGGAGCTCTGCTGTGAAGGCAAACGTACATAAGAGCTTTGTAAGGTATCTGTTAGTTAGAAAAAGATATATGGGAACTTGTAACATATTATTACATATGTAATCTGTTGCCTGTATCTTTTTACATGTGGCAGCTTGGGTTTAGTTGCCAAATGTGAATTTAAACTCCAGGATGATTGTCTACAGTCACTCCCCTAGGTTTAAGAATGAGTTCTACGTTACATTGTATCATTCCTTACTGCAGGGTTTTACCAAAAAAAAGAAACTTGCTACTGGACCTGAATTTGCATATATTTTTTTTTCTCAGACCTCTTTTAAAGAGATCATTTTGATCTTTGCACTCTTCACATTGACTTCATGGACTCTCTTTAGTCATTCTGCCTTTGATGTTGTTGTCTTAGTACTTAGTGAAAAACGAAGGAATACGTTCATTTGCAGCATATCTAGATAGTCATTTGGAGCCAGTTACACGATTTGTCTTCCTTCCTCTGACTTAAATTTGCGTGAGCCGACTCTCCAACAGATCCTGTCTCGACAGTAACTGCAGGACTGTCCCTTTGTGAATAGCTCTGCCGTGAAGGAGAAATTTTTGAATATGACCTCAACTTTGGAGCTGATTCCTGCTCTTCTGGCTCTTACAATTTGTATATGTACCTATGCCCCTGGGGCTGTAAACTAATTATCTTTACCCCATTGTTATTATGTAGTCAGCCAAAACATCATGTTTTGTTATTTCAACATGTTTATATTCATAAAACCTCTGCTTCCAGCCTTTCCCTGAATCACCTTCATCCTGTTGCCCCCATTTCTGCTTTAGCTGCTTGATACTGATCACTATTTCCTATCTGCTTTAAAATTAGTCCTTTCTCTGTGTCTCAAGACTATTTTTTTAATCAGTTTAAGGGTATTGCTTGACAGCTTGTTTTTTGTTTTGTTTTGTTTTGCTTCGTTTTTTTTAATCATTAGTGTTAAACAGTTAAACATCCTCCCACATAGTGYTGGCATGAGTGTATGACATGTACAGAGATTGCCCTATCAGATACAGTATTTCCCTGGTGTGTCTCATCTTCTTCAACTTTGTTCTGTTCTTTGGGTCATTCCCCTCGTTGTCTTGGTGGTGGCTGAAGCATTCATGGAATCTCAAGTAGCTCTGTCCTTTACACAGCAGGCTAAGGTTAAACCAGCTGTGTCCTGCATGAAGTTGCTGTACTTCATGTGCCTTGGTCATTTTTGGATAGGCAGCCTATGTGCAAATTTAAATGCTTGACTTGGAAAAGCACAGCTTGGCTTTAACTTGCTTTCAGAATATCTGGCATAGCTAATTGTTGTAAAAGAGATTTAGAACTTAAAAGCTATTAAGAATCAAATTTCTATTTATATGATCAACAAATTTCACTATGTGTTGTGAATGAATGTAATGATCTTTAAAATGAAAGTAATGTCAGCTTTTTTTTTTTGAGAGTTGAATTATTTGTGCTTTTCTGCCTTGTTAGTGAGTTTTCAAAGTAATATAATTTTAAAACTAGATGTCTTAAATTGTTTTGTAATTTTGACAGGTAAATATTGGGAAAATGGATTCTCCCATTGAGAAGTGGAACCTAATAATTGGCAATTTGGCCTTAAAACAGGTAAAAGCAATTGACTGGGTGTGAATTTGGGAAAATGTGGTGATAGAAAATGTAAATAGGAATGTAGCTATTTTCCACTGGTTCAAGGTCAGTATTTTCAYGATCAATTGCTTTTTAGTACAATGTAGTACATATTTTTTTCTCTAAAAAAAATATGAACCTGTTTTCATCACCAAAAGAGGCACAATATGCTTGTGACCCTATCAAAAGTATTTCATTTTTAATTTYCCAGAGAGAACATTTTGAGGGCTGATTAGAAAATAATTTCAGACTTAGCAAAGCCAAAGCTTGACCTCAAATCTTTTCAATACTGCCTTTTAATTGGATTCAATATTCAATGTATCTGATGGAGCTTTTGGATAATAAACTGTATTTTAAATACATGAGTCATTTGAGGTAATGAGTGTTTGTGCTCCAAAGCAACTATCTCTTATCTTAAGATTTATTCCACGCTCATATTTTGTAATGGAAAGTACAGGATTCAAAAAAAAATATGTGAAATGTTGATGCTGTGACTTCACTGTTTTAAATGGCTTAGAAGACTTCTTAGGCATTTCATCTTAGCCTGGAGATGATATCAGGCTGAATCCTGATGATTCCTTATTTCTGGTAAAATGATGATGATTTTACTTTTATTATTTTTAAGTCTCTGGATTACTGTTAAAATAATATTTARATATTAATATATTTAAAGTAATTACTGGTAAAATAATGATCAACCAGGGGTGTCATCGTCTCTCCGAGATGGATGTCTGTGCTTCATCCACACTCTGCAGGCGCATGTACATGGGAGGAAAGAATAACAAGAAATGATTCCATAGTCCCCTTAGGTAGGTTAATGTAAGAGCCACTGATATCTAACAGAAAATGTTTACTGTTTCTTTTGCAGGTTCAGGCAACAGTAGTTGGCTTCCTGGCAGCAGTGGCAGCAGTTATATTGGGCTGGATTCCAGAGGGCAAA